AGGGCAGCGAATGGTCGCGTCGAAGGTTTCACCGAGTTGCATCGGCGCCGTCGGCATACAAATATCGACTGAGTGGGATCCTGGAAGGTTATAAGCATGCTGCAGTGATCGGCGGCAACCAGCATGTGCCTTGATCAACCCCCTGCACATCACGTCGATTCGTACAGACCACAGTCGCTGTAGGTTCAACATATGAGTGTTCGTATGTGTTGCGCATTGATGACGGTCGGACGATATGCAGTGGTGGTCTCACACAAAGTAGGTTCGTTTTCAGGTCGTTGCAGGTAGTCTCTTGTGCATCGACAGAACCTACGCTTTTTAGTCAGCAACCATGCGTGGGAGCAAGTAGCGAGGGCTGACCCCAAGGGTGTAACGTAGGAGTTGAACGCTGACGCACTGGAACCCTGCGGCTAATTCCGTTATGCGTGTATGGAAAGTAGGGCATCAGGTGTTGATTGTGTGGCGTTGCGCCACGGCTTTGTGGCAGCTCGTTTGCCATTGGTGGAGCTGAATCTTTTTGCACCAATGGCATCGCGCGACGGTGCAGCGGACCAATCACGGCGCCTTGAAAAGATCGCAACGCGCAGCCTCACGGGACCATCGATGGTGGACACGTCGGCAGCGATGGCCATCGGGAGCGTCTGCCTCGTCGCGGTCGCCGCCTTTATTGTACTCGCCCACACGTGTGCACATATTGTCATATTTCCATCTTTAGACGTTTACGGGCTACAAACACTTTACGACGTCGCTCGTGCTGCAAGGCGCCATTCTCGGTGGCTACCTCGTACTGCTGTTTCTACTGCTGAAATGCTTGGAAACCAATTGCATAGGGCTGGGCATGGGGTGCGTCCATGAGCGCCTCGAGTACGTTCTTAAGCCTTGGCGTCGCGGCCGCGGTCGCGGTCGTCCTCGCCGTGCTCACCTATGTGCTCCAAACCATCGCCCAGTTCCTCTTTGGTATGAAACACTACTTTATGGCTGCTGCAACAACAAGGATCTCGCACGTGACGACAATATTGTGCAGGCGCAGCGCTCGGTATCCAGCTCGGCTCGATGCTCAACGTCGTCTATCTCCACAGTACGCTTCCTCAAGGACGAGGCTACAAAAGTACATATTTCATTAGCTCTCGATACCACCCGTCCGAATGCGATCGGATACTATACCATGGCGGGCAGCGGCGCCGTTTTTGGCCTCGCTGCTTGCATTCCGCGACGGTCTGGCTGCGTGTTTGAAGCTTGGATGTCTGAGCCAATGTGCTGTAGCCCGATTCACGTGCTCTTGACAGCGTGGGTTGGCGCCTACTGGTTTGTGCAGGGCATCGGAAACATGGCCGGCGGGTACGACCCCACGAGCCACGGATCTTCATAATGTCCACACAGGTTTCCCGCCCTCTTCAACCCTTTTCCGAATGGGATCCCGGTCGCCGTCCCCGTCGGTGTACGTCTCGTCCTCGGCGTCATCATCGTCAGCATCGTGATAATGTTGGATGCGGTAGTATTATGTGTACATGGGCGGCTGGGTTCTCCTTGGACTCCTCGGGTCGGTGGTTCAATTCCAAAGCACGGCCCTCGACGTGGACCACCACGCGCCGACGACGACGGACGACGACGTGGATCTGGAGAAGGAGCATGCGTCCGACGACTCGTCCGTCGCCTACTGGCGCCACTAGCTCCCCAGCGTCGATCGACAGACGTATTGTACATACCTCCGCAACGAGTCGATGCCACTCCATACTTGTCGTGCAGAGTTGTTGGTGGGACCCATTCGGTATACCATGTCGTGTGATTGGTCGCCGCGCATGTCGGAGGCGCTTGCAATGACGTAATTTACATCGCAAAATATGTACATCGCTCGTCCCACGGGCCAGTACAACCGGCACGTGGGCCTGGGTTCAACCCCGAAAGTCGCCATGTCTTTCAAGATGGGGTGCGGCGATGGTGGCAAAGTCATTTGGGTCGTTTAAAATCAAGAAAATACAAGGCGTTTACAAGGCCGCGGCTTCGTTGGCCGTGACGCTTTGGTCGTCGTCGATCGGCGCGGGCGCCGTCTCTGTGCTCGTGAGCGTCGCGCGCGACTTGCGCAGATTCTTCTTCATTTTCTCAAAGATCTTTTGATCGGCGCGCGAGACGGACGGGAAGACCGTCTGGAACGCCGACTCAAAGTGCTTCTTCTGGATGCACAGCCCGATCTCGATGTGCGTCTGGTCGGCCTCGCGGAGCACGGCAACGCCGGCTTCGCGCACGAGGGCGCTGAGGTCTGCCCCCGAGAAGCTGTCGCAGCGCGGGTCGCGCGCGATCGCCTCCAAATCGAGCGCCGGGTCCATCTTGCACTTTTCGCTCAGCGTCGAGAGGATCTGGAAGCGCTCTGCGGCGTGCGGCAGCGGCACGTAGAGCAGCTTGTCGAGGCGACCGGGGCGCAGCATGGCCGGGTCAATGATGTCCGGGCGGTTCGTCGCGGCGATCACGACCACGTTCTTGCGCGCGTCCAAGCCGTCCATTTCCGTGAGCAGTTGGTTGACGACGCGCTCGCTGACGCCGTTGCCGCCGTCGCTCATGCCGCGGCGCGGGCACAACGCGTCGAGCTCGTCAAAGAACACAATGCACGGCGACGATGCGCGCGCGCGCTCAAACACTTGGCGCACCGCGCGCTCCGACTCGCCCACGTACTTGTCGAGGAGCTCCGGTCCCTTGACCGAGATAAAGTTGGCGCCGCTCTCGTTCGCGATCGCTTTGGCCAGCATCGTCTTGCCGCAACCGGGCGGGCCGTAGAGAAGCACACCGGCAGGCATCTTGAGCCCGAGGGCTTCAAAGCGCTCGGGGTGCTGGAGCGGGTGCAGAATCGAGAGCACGAGCTCGGCGCGGACCTCGACGAGCGCGCCGACATCGTTCCACGTGACGTCCGGGATCGTCGCAAAGCCTTCGCGCTTCGAGCTCGGCTGCACCTTGGGCACGGCTTGAAGAAAGTCGTCCATGTTGACGCTCAAGGGTTCGAGTTCTTCGGGCGTAAACGGCGCAACCGACCGGATCTCGTCGTTGATCGAGGTCGTCGTCGTCGTCGTCTCCTTGTGCAGAAGCGTCGAGAAGACACGGTTGACGGCGAGCACGGCAGCTTCCTTTGTGAGCGAGACCAAGTCGGCGCCGACGTAGCCGGGCGTCCGGCGCGCGAGGTCTTTGAAATCAATGTCGCCCGAGAGACGCATTTTGGATGCGAGCACCGAGAGGATCTTCTCGCGCGCGTCGGCGTCCGGGATCCCGAGGCAGATTTCGCGGTCAAAGCGCCCGGCCCGGCGCAGCGCCTGGTCCAAATCGTTCGGGCGGTTGGTCGCGCCAATCACAAGCACGGGCTTCCCGCCCGTGTTGGCGAGGCTCAGCGTGTCGGTACTCGTGAGCAGCTGCGCGACGATGCGCTTCTCCATGCCGCGCGACGACGTCTCGCGCTTGGGCGTGATCGCATCGATCTCGTCGATGAAGATGATGGACGGCGCGTTCGCAATCGCTTGGTCAAAGAGGTCCCGGACCTTCTGCTCCGACTCGCCCGACATGCCCGACACGATCTCCGGGGCGCTCACCTTGAGAAAGCACGCGCCGCTTTCGCCTGCGATCGCATTGGCCAGCATCGTCTTGCCCGTGCCCGGCGGCCCGTGGAGGAGGATACCGCGCGGCGGCTCGACGCCGAGATGCGTGTAGATCTCGGGGTGCGTGAGCGGGTACTCGATGAGCTCCTGGACTTCCTTGAGGATCGCTTGGATCCCGCCGACGTCCGAGTAACGCGTCGTGGGTCGGGACACGATAAAGTTGTCGTTGGCGACCGCCGCCATCTCGGGCCGCGTGCGCTTGGCCTTCTTGGGCTTGTCGCTCTCGGCCTTCTCGGCTTTGGCGACCTCGGCCGCATACGTCTTGGTGATCGAGTTGTTGAGGAGGTTCACAGGCGGCGGCGCCGACGCTTCGAGGGCCGCGGCTTGCTTTTCATCGTCGTCGTCGTCGTCGCTGCGCGGGCGCTTGGTGCTATCGCGAGCATGAGCGCCATTGGCAACATGGAGGTGTACCCTTCGGTCTTGGGCGTGTTTTGGCAATGGCCTTTTGCACCATCTTCTTGAGCGGGCCATGCGGCTTGCGCGAGTACTCGTTGTAGGTCGAGAGGAGGTGCGAGAGCACGCTCGACTCGGTCGGCTTGATGTCCTCGTTCTCGCGCAGGACTTGCGCACGTGGAAGTTGACCTTGGCCTCCATCTTGCTCAAGTGTCGGCTAATGGCCAATCAAGCGGCTCGCGTGGCATCCCACATGTCGCAGCTTTTTTATTTCGGCACCACGTGGCGCCATCTCTCTCTGCCATCGCACATGCACCACCTCATAATACCTCTGGCATCGCACAATGGTGTGTGTATACGCGAGCGGTGCATGATGGACCTGCGTTAAAAAGGGCTCGCAAGGGTGTCTCGTCGCTTGAGTCGAGGACCGCCGAGGTAGTTTGTTGCGTTGGCTGGGACTGACTAGTACGAGCCATTCCGCTCTACGCATGGATCCGCATTTGGATGTTGGGCTGCAACTGAGATATAGTAGGAGAAGGTACGCTCGGGCTTGCGGTCGCTGCTTGCAGGCGACGCGTAGCTTGCAGGTGACGAGATGGTGTCTTCAATTCGGCACAGAATGCCGAATCCAAGACGCCACGTCGCATTTATTGGTATTTAGCAACTTGTACAACATGTTTGTATTGGTATTTGATTTTACGTATTTAAAATACCCATGCTGCAGGATGCGAGTTGTGACCTCCCTCGAAAAGCAGCCAATGAGATGCAAGAATAGGCGTCTGCCGGCGGTGATTGGCCGTAATGTATAGGTGGCACCCCGCTCCGATGTCATTGGTGGTGTGGGCTGCGTGGCTGGCGCCGCCAAGCTTGGTATTCGTATAGACGACTCTAAGAATGCAAGCCCAAGCTGCGACCAACCTGGCTGCCTACGTGCAGGCGATCCTGAAGGAGCCGACGGCTGTCGCCGCCGAGGCCGCCGGCGCCCATGCGCTCGCCAAGACTGACGCGCTCCTCGCCGTCAAGGACCAGGACACGGACATTGAGGGCGCGTTCAAGCTTCTGCTCAAGTCCACGGGCGCCACGCACGTGCCCGAGCTGCTGAAGAAGCTCACGGCCGACACGACGACGAACGCGACCTTGAAGCTCCGCATGTACGCTGCGATGGCGTGGCAATGCATGGCTCATGGCCCTTGTTTTGCGTAGCCTCGCCGAAGTGTTCAACAGCCTCCCGGCCGCGAACGCGCTCCGCTTTGAGACGCTCGTGAGCATCATCAACTATGCTGGAGCGACGAACCAGGTGCACTTGATCAAGAGCTACTTGAACGACATGGACGCGCTGGTCGCGGGCGTTGCGCCGGCCAACCTGCAGAGCGTGTACCTGAGCATCGCCGACCTTCTCGAGAAGGAGGTCGACAGCAAGCACCAATCGCTCCTCTTCCTCGAAAAGTACCTGAACCTCTTTGAATCCGAGAAGGACGTGTCCAAGGCCAAGCCGGCCGCGATCCGCGCCGCCGTCGCCGTCATCAAGGCGCCGGTCGAGGCCTTTGTCGCGCACGTCGAGCTCCTCCACCTCAAGGCTGTCCAGCAGCTCAAGGGCGCCGACAAGATCTACGACCTCCTCGAGATCTTCACGTCCAAGTCGCTCGCCGACTACGTGGCGTTCGAGAAGGCGTCGGCCGCGACGCTCACGGCCCATGGCCTCGACAGCGCGGTCTGCACGTCGCACATGCGTCTCCTCACGCTGTGCTCGTACCCGACGGGCCACGATGCGATCGCGTACGCCGACATTGAGCGCACGCTCCAGGTGCCCGCCGCCGACGTCGAGCAGTGGGTCGTCAAGGCCATCACGGCCAACTTGATCTCGGCCAAGATCGACCAGCTCGGCCGGTCCGTGGTCATCACGCGGTCGCTTCAGCGCGGCTTTGGCCCCGCCGAGTGGGCGGCCTTGCAGGCCAAGCTCTCGCTGTACCAGGCCAACGTTGGCAGCCTCCTCGCGACCATCCGGCAGGCGCGCCAGTAATGATCTTGAAGATAGTAGTTTTATGTCGCTAATTCTTACGACCATTTCCGTATTTCGTACCAAGTGCCCTCGAATTCGTACCTCGCGTGCTGCAATTCGTAGTCTGCAAGTCGTCGTCGCTATAGTTGGATCCGAAACAGCAACCGCATGAAGCCGAGGAAAGCGTCGCTCGTGGCGCCGATCGCAGCCACCCGCGTGCGCCGGCCGTCGGTCGTCCGCGCGACGCCGGTCAACGTGCAGCACGAAGCTCTTTTGGAGCCCGAGGACGTTGCGATTGATGCGCTCGATACGCTCTTGCACGGGCTCATCCGCTCCATGGAAGAGAACGCGCTGCGCAAAGCGACGGTAGGTGTCCACCATCCGTCGAGCGCTCGTCAAGTGCAATATGCGTAGCTGGCGTACACGGCGTGTGTGGCCACGAGCTGCGTCATGGGCATGTTGGGCATGATGATGCTGCCGCACACCAAGACGCCGGATCGTGGGGACGCCACTGCAGAGCTTTTGCCGCCGACCGGCCCCCATCGACATTTGGTCCAAGGCCACGGTACCGTCCAAGCGCAGGCCGTTCGGACGCTCTTATGCGCGCGCTGCTAATGGCGGCGCGTCGCCAACGCGTGAGAGCCAAAAATCCATCTCCCCGAAGCGCAGCCCGCATCGAGCCGCGCCAACACAAGCAGCAGCCAGTCCGTTGCTGCCGCCCGAGACCGTTGACATGGACGTCGCCATTGCCGTGCAGTTTGCAGCGTCGTACGTCGACGTGATGCCGATCACGCTCGAGGAGCTGGCGCGGCGCGAGACCATCGAGCGCATCTTGGCCGCGGACGCCGACCGCGCCAAGCGCATCGAGGTGGACGAGGCGCGCGCCCGGGCGACGGCAACGCTCGTGACCGACCCCGACGAGCTGGAGAAGCAGCTCCCGCGCCCACCGGACGAACCGATCGAGTCGGAGGTCGTGCTCGTCGATGAGACCGAGCTGCTCGTGGGCGAGAACTCCCTGCTCGTCTCGCGTCGGTCCAAGAAGGATTTGCTTCGGCGGTTGCCGCCGTCGCGCCTCGAGCCGCAGATCGTCGTACCCTCCGGCGACTCGGCGCGGGGGCAGAGCCCTAGCACGTCTCGTAACACGCGCGGGGCGTCCCGCGGCACCTCACGGGCCTCGGCGCGGTCCAAGCTCAAGCCCAAGACGCCGCTCTCGCGCCTCACGCCCTTGGTGCAGTACATTCAACATATCATCGTCGTTCTCAGTGTGCGCTTGTTCATAGAGCTTTTCGACGCCGGCCGACAACGCCAAGCTCTTCATTCGCTACGAAGCTCTCAACGGCGGCCCCGTCTTTGACGAAGCGTCGAGTCCTGTCTCGCGCGGCGTCGTGATCCGGCACAAGGGGTTCGAGAAGCGAGGTGCGGACTGGAAGTCCAGCGAGGTGAGCGACGCCTTGTCCCGGGTACGTTTGCGCCATCCGAACAGCGCTCAGAAGCGAATAAATAGAACGAGTCGGAGCCGACGCTGCGATCGTCGCGGAAGAAGCGGCCGTCGCGCGCCGACGTTGTAGAGGCCAACGTCCTCCGCGTAGCGCCGCCCATTGCGGCAATCAATCCCGCCGTTTTGCCTCAGCCCGTGCACCGTGTACGTGTCGTTCGACGCTGAAGGATGCGAGCTGCATGTTGAAATGGCTAGCACGATGAGGTCAAGTCGCTGACGATGCGCATTCGAACGCCGGCGTGTCGGTCCCGCCGGTCGCGCCGCGTTGTCGACGCCAACGACCGGGACGACGCCATGGTGCGAGCGAGATACTACGTTCCATGAGGTATTCATGACGGGAGGTAGATTTTCGAGCCGCAAAAGGTCGTCTTGCGGCCGCTTAAGGTGCCCCACACCCAGGACCGCGACTCGTCGTCGATCTCGATCCAGAACAAGTCGCTGTCGCTGCCGCTTCTCGCCGGTTGGTCCGGGACACCGCCGCAAGGACGGTGACGTCCTTGCGGCCACTACTATTTAAGCCGAAAGAAGGCCTTTACTAGACAGCAGTGTGTGTGCCGATGCACGAGGCACAAAAAAGCACATACCACGTGAGGTTAGCTGACTGTAGAGCGTTGAGGCAGGCGCCGGCCCAAGTCGGTCCGCGCACCACGTATACGCGTCCGAAACAAGTGCTGTCTTGCGCTTCTTGCTGGGCGGAGCATCGTCGGCGGGCGGGGCGTCGCCGTCTTGACTCCGCTTGCGACTGCTGTCGTCCGCTGCCCTGGGAGGCGTGAGCCAGTACGTGGGCGATGGCCTGTACGCAGCGCTTATGTAGGCCTGTACGACAGATGCAGGACGTCGCGGAGGCTATCATGGTTGGTATGATTGCCACCGCGTGCAAATGAGCATACCATGGCCTGGATGGCCGCGAGCTTGGTGGTGAGCGCTGCCATGTCCTGGCGCACCTCGGTCAGCTCGTCATGGACGACGCGCGCCTAACACCGCCATGTCGCTTCAGACGCGCCCTGTTGCATCGTACAAGAGGTGGTACCGAGGAGTAGGTGAGTGTGGCTTGGAGTCGCACGCGGCTGGTCCCGTTGAGGGCATACGACTTGTTGACTTGTCGCTGGGCGAGGAGCTCCTCAAAAGGCAAGACAATGTGGCCAAGCACGACGTCGGGGCTAAAGCGCATGGCGTGCTTGACTTCGACGTACACAGACGCGCTGAGCGACGGTAGCGCGTCAAAATGGAGCGTCTCGTGCCACTGCGGCGTCGGCAGTCGCTGTCGCCGCGTCCGCTGCGAGCGACCTAGCGCTGGTACGATGCGCGCCTGGACGTACGCCATGCCCGTGCTCAATACGGAAAAGGCCATTGAAGGATGGTCATTCACCCGAATGTTGTCGCCAGCGCCGACGACGAGCTCGAGCCTCGCCAGGCTCTTTCCGTCCACATTGAAGCCGATACCTGTCGCCGCGTCCGTGAGCTCGGCTTCCTTGGCGCTCATGAGCTGGCCCTCGAGAATGATCTGGCGCCGCCGAAGCGCGAGGATCTGGCGCTTAAAGCGCTCTTCGAGGCCACCGTCCGACGACGTCTTGGCCTCGAGTACCCGGCGTCCCAGCATGTTTGGCGATCTGAACAATGCTTCTCGTTGCTGATTGGCCAAAACACAACCGCCAATCACATCGCGTACAAAGTGAAATCTGGCAAGTTGAAGATCTTGGCTAGAGTTTCCGAGCGCAAATGAAAATCAGATCTCACCAGATCCTTGCCAGATGTGGAAACCTGACAAGCTTGCCGGGAGAACCGACAGCTCCTGCCGACGTGTGGCGGCTACTGTGGCAGCTCGTCGAGGCTGCACTGCGTAGTCAAGTACCAGGTCTCCCCGCCATGGCGAGATCGGCAATGCACGGCTGGCTAGTATCTGCGTCGTTGTTTCCTGTCTCGTGTCGATGGTAGACGGTTTGTGCTGTACACGAGTGTGCACACTTTTATGACTACTAACCTGTGTTATGTACACGAACTAACCTTCCTTACGTCTCCTATGCTGGGTTGGACGCGAGCTCCTGCGCGTGCTTGGCGCAGAACCCGTTGCGCTGGGCCCACTTCTTGCACTGGGGAAACTCGCAACGCTTGCCGCCGCCGTGGCCGCGGCAAAACCCGCCCGACTGACAGCTCTTGGTGCAGCCTTCAAACTTGCATCGGACGCCGCCACCGTGCTGCTTGCAGAGACCCCGCGACTGCGCCGTCTTCGGGCACCCTTCCATGCGGCACGGCTTGCCGCCGCCGTGGGCGATACATAGGTGGCCCGTCTGCGCGCTCTTCATGCAGCCCTCGACTTTGCAGCGACGACCGCCACCGTGCACCTTGCACATGCCCTTGGTGCGCGCAATGTTGTTGCAGCCCGGTGACATGCAAAACTTGGCATACGCCGCCGGGTTGCCGGGTGCCGCCATTGCAGCCGCGTCCGGTGCGTACTTGGGCTCGTACTTGGGCTCGTACTTGCCGGCTTCGTAGTGCGCAGTGTACTTTTGCTCGTAATGGGCCGGCGACGGGGCCGCCGCACCGGCGTATGCCGACGGGAGGTGGCCATAATGGTGCAAGTGATGTTGCTGTTGCTGCTGCTGGTGCTGGTGCGCGGCGGCTTGCATCGCGTAGTTGCTCTGCTGGTACATCGCCGCTTGTTGCTGCTGGTACATGTGAGGACCGTTCGTGTAGTAGCCACCGGCCTGCGGCGGCATCGCGTACTGCTGCATGGACGGGTGCTGCGACAAGTGCGACGCGTGGAGTTGCTGTTGCTGCTGCTGCTGCTGTTGTTGTTGTTGTTGCTGCTGTCGGTAGCTGTCGTGGTACATGTGCATCGTCGGGTGCGTCATGTGCGACGTCTGTTGTTGCATGGTCAAGCCTGGGTACTGTGCGTTGATGGGCTGGCGCGCCGCGTTGGTCGGGAGGCCGCGCACCGGCTGCTGCTGGCTCATCGCGCTCATCGTGGCTGCATGTTGCTGCAAGCTCCGGTCGTCGTTACCGGCGTACGACGAGTGCAGGAGGTTGCTTGCTTGCGTGTTTGCCGCTGGCGCCGTAGTGGCGGCGGATGTCGGTGCTGGCGCAGGCGTGGCTTGCGGCGGATGCTGCTGCTGCGGGCGGGCGTTGGCGGGCGCCGGCTTGTAGTGGGCTGGACGATCTTGTCATCGAGGAGGTTGTCGAGGTTGTCGACGGACACGACGTATTCGTTTTCGTCGTCTTCGGCGACTTCTTCCGCGGCGTACTTGGCGACGTCGCTCTCGATCGACTCGAGGCAGTTGGCGAGTGTCTGAAGCGGAAGCTGTCCTGGGACGTCATCGGGCGCTGGAGCGCCGAGTTGGACGTTGCGTTGAGGATACCTTGCAGCACATCAAAGCTCTTCTTGCGCGTCATGCCGTCCGCGTGCATGATAAACGACTTGAACATGTTGGAGCTCGAGAGCCGCTTGAGCTCTTCCGCGGGAATCTCGTCGCCGAGGCTGCGAAGGAGCTCAGTTGCTTCCGTGCGGCTAATGCCGCCGGGTGCCTGCGTCTCGAGGAGGCCCACAAGCGCCGAGACGCTGGCCTTCTTTTCATTCATGGAAAAATTCTGCGAGCTCAAAAGGCGCTTGAGCTTCGTCGCGCTCTCCTTGACGTTGAACTTGCGCTCTTGGCTCGCGCTGTCGTACGGGTACTGGGCGTGGAGGAGCTGCTCGGCGCGCATCTCGGCGGCGGCGGCGTCGTCGCCCGAGACCAGCGTCCGCAATTTGGCCCACGACTCTTTGCGCTCCATGGAGAAGGACGAGACGTCCACGCAGTCCATCATTTCGCGGAGGAGATGCGCGTTCACAGGCACTTCGCTCGGCGGCGGCGCGTGCTGCCGCGTGGGGGTCCTTGCTGCTGCTGCTGTCCTTGCATCGGGGGCGTCTTCCTCCAAGTGTCTCAGACGCTGTTTTCCACACTGAGCCAACCAAGTCGATGGGCCGGAAACGAAAATTATTTTTCAGTTGCCACGTATCTCTTGAAGGAACTATGCCACGCGATGGGCTTAAAAAAGCCGCGACATGCGAAAAGCGAGCGATGCCATTGGCGGAAAGGAGCTAGAAAGGCAATCGATTGGCCAAAAGGCACCGCGGCGGCCGCGACATGTGCTGCGACATGCTGCCAGCGGTCAACAGCGCGCTTGCGACACGGCCATGCGTCGCCTGCAACGGATGCGGGCATGCATGCAAGCCCACGCCCTTGGGCCAGCGGCGCCGACGGAGCATGGGCCATGGAAGGCCGCGCTGGTCGCCGTGCGCGCAGCTGCGCGAGGTCAAGGATTCGCGCCATGAGCCACTCTGCTCAGACGCGGTCCTGGTCCGACGTCGGGGCTGTTCGTTGGTCTACACTACTGCTGTTTGTACGTGCGCCAATGGTGTCATCCACACACCAAGTGTCGTGCGGGCCCGGGCCCCGTATCATTGGCGCGCACCCTTCGTACGCCGGTATCGATCCCTTCTTGCGTCACCAGCGCTGGACTTTTCGCCCGCAAGGGTCCGTGGGCAGAAGCCATGCACGGGGTCCCACTTCTGCGCTACAAGAATGTTGGTGGCGCTTGCCGCGTAATGGAAGAAGATCGCTGCTGCATCGAGACCACCGCCTCTCCGAGCTGCCTCTGCGTGAGCTCTGGCTTGCAGCGGCTTCGACCGTCCGCGCTGGATCTGCTAGGTCGTGTGCATGTCGCGTGCCACGTGGGTGACCGACTCGATCTGCGTTGGAACCGGAGGACCGTCCAAATGCGGGCTGGACGTATCCTTAGCAAACGACACGCTTCTGGAGAACGCTCGTGTTTCAACAATGATTCTACTGCTGCGAGAACGGCGCGTGGTCGGCAAAGCACTTGAGGAAGACGGCCTGGACGCGCTCTTTGGCTTCGGTGGCTGGCAGCATCGACTACGCAAATCACACAGTCTCCGTGTCTCTGCCTGCGTTATTAAAGAGCGCGGAGTCGTCGGTACCGAAGTCGCTTGGGTCGCATTGTCCTTGACGCACTTGTGCGTCCACCACTCGCAGGCGCGGGCACCGAGTGCAGCCGTGCTTGTTTTGCAAAAGTGGTCGGCCTTTTGGTAGCACTCGGACTCGCGCGCCGACCGCACTTCACTACGAGATCGTTTCAAACGTCAGAGCGGATCGACGCGGCGAGAGCAACCTGCACGCAAGCACGTCGGGGATGGTGAGATCCATGCCGCGCACGGTGTACTACCAAGCAGCATGTTGCATCCGTGGGAGGACGGCACGTCGTACGTCGTAGGCGTGAATGAGCTCGTGCACAATGACCTCGGACACGTCGTTGGGCGTCCGAAGGCGGTTGGCACAGAGCACAATGGCCTACGGTCAAGACGTGAGCGCGCTGGTAGCACCTGGGACGCGTCGTACGGGCGGTGCGGCAAAGAAGGCGCGGGCTTTGCCTTCGACCCCTAATGCGCCATCATACATGACGATGCTTTGTTGCAAGTCCTACCTTCTTGCTTGCAGTCGACGCAGAGAAACTGGAGCTTCTTGGCCTGGCCGTTCGTCGCGTTGGCCGTCTCGAGGTGCTACCGCGAGCCATGAGCCCATGGAGATATATGCTCCATTGGTAGCGTGGTCGTACAGCATTGATCTCGGTCACGAGCTGCTTGGGGCGGGGCTCCTTGAGCGCCTCCTGGAGGGCGTCGTAGCAGTCGGGGATGTCCATCTTGGCCAGTGTAGCACCGACTTCGTTATCCGGAATTACCGGATAATGGAGAGGTAGTACACTAATTGCGTTTGGTTGATGAAGAAGCGAAGCCGCCTGGCCCTGCCGCCGCAGAGCCCCGATGGCCTGCGCGAGACGCCGGTAGAGGTCGTTGTCATTGACGACGACGAATCGCCCAAGCACGAGACGAGCAAGCAAGTAGATTACGCCGTGGCCAGCCCACCGACCGACGACGCGAGCCTCGGTCCCGAGCTACGTCTGTACCAGGAAGGCCTCGACGGCGACTGGCTCCAGCTCGCGTGGATGCGCACGCGCGCCGAGGTCCCAGCGTCTGAGGCTCTACCGACCGAGATGGTGCTACCGAGTGTCACGTGCAACCTGCACGACATTCTACCGTCGACGAAATCGTCGCCGCGCCCCATTTCGTCATCAGCCGTCAACAACTCTGCCGACGTCCCACTCGCCCAGCAGCGCTCCAAGGCCGAGTGCATGGCGAAGATTCAGGCGTGGCTACGGCACGGCGACGGCGACGTACCGTGGCCATCATGCGACGCGCAGCTATTAGCCGACTGCGACTGGGCGACCATGTTGACGCCGCCGCCGTCGCCATCGACGCTCTGTGCCATCGTCCGCGCCTCATCGAGTCCGTCGCTATATCGACAATTGTGGCTTCAAGAGCCGCTGCTTCGGGCGACGCTCGTGCATGCTGGCGCTTTGCGCGACGTGGCGGTGCTGACCCGACTTGTCGACTGCGATCACGTGCGGAGCATGGCGCCGCGGGCCTTTCGCTCGACTCTGCGGCAGTTGGACTTGCGCAAAGACGGCGAAGACGTTGGAATCTACCTCGAATCCGAGCTGGTTCGCGTCTACCACACATTGCGCTGAATGTACTGTGTTAGCATTGGTATTGTATGTGGGCTCTATCGTCTTCTGGCGTGCGTCCACAGAGCTGTGCAACGTACTAGCTCTGAACGCTTCAAGTCCACCCGTGGCACGAGTAGTGCCGTACCGTACGAACAGCACGCGAGGAAAGGCAGGCGACGAGGAACATCCTCGGCGAAGGAACTTGGTCGCGTTCCTATGCAACTGCTCCGTCAACACCATGTGACAGCCGCGTCACGTGTGTACCACGGATGTCCCAATCGCTTGGGCGCGGAGAAGACGGTCGGGCTGTTGATGCAACACCGCACGGTTCTAGCGTGATGGGGCGACAGTATAAACCTTCTGCACCAGGATATAGTGTCATTCTCTCGGCACCACCATCGTCTTGTGCAAAGGCGGTCGCCAGAGTGCAAGAAGCTGCATCGATTGCCGCACCCGCTGGCAACGAGTCGCTACGACCACCTCGCATGATAACGGCGGTGTGACGCGATCGTGGCTTTGCTGTTTTCGATTGAAGCACATCGGCAACACCTAACGACGCATATCGTGCTCCTCTACCAATGTATAACTTTACGAGAGTAACCACCGCCATGCGTGTCACTTGCTCTTATCCTCGGGTCGTTGCGCTAGCCAGCGTATTTCACAACAAATCCATTTTGACCAAGTGGGTACGTCGAGCGCAGCAGACCACTGCTGAGATCCTTCGCGGCGGACACTGCGACGTGCAGGAAGAAATCGCAGCTCGTTGCCGCGCACCAAAACCTGTTAGGCCTTGGCGTTAGCTGGGTCGCGGTGAAAATGCTCAAGAGCAGGCAGCAAGTATCGTTGAGTCTACGATTCTATGATGCTACGAGCGTCATCGGTGACCATCACGGGGTTGTGATGAAAATAGTGTGCTATCCGGATACTGTGTCCGCATACGAAGCAGCCAATCACACAACGGTGTGCATGGACCTTCTTGGCACGAAATTCATTTTGAGAATAGACTCGGCGATGGAGAACCCGAGCCTGCTCAGTGAGCTGCTGCCGATCGACGAGCTCCAGTTGGACCGTGACATTGCCTACTACTTGACGTCGGACGTGCGCATGAATGCCCAGCCGTTCGAGATGCACGCACCGCGCCCGATGGCCACGTCGCCGTCGTCGCAGAGTCCGAGCGAGTCGGAGCCCGGGAAGGAGGAGTCGATCAGCCAAAAGTACCGACGCCGCCAAAAGGAAGAGCTCAAGCATTTGCAAGAACAAGTTGCACAGCTCAGCGGGCACTTGGCCGTCTTGACCAACGTCAAGGCGCTCGAGGCCGAAGGCGGCTCCGAATGGGAGCGTATGGCGCGCAACCAAAGCTCAACTCGCAGCGCGCACTCTCAGAAAACAGCCGGCTCAAGCGCGCACTTGAGGAGCAGCTCAAGATCGCCCAGGCCCTCGACCAGCTCCTCATCAAGCGGCCACGGCTCGCGGTACGTCCTCCCAACGCCACTACGTTGTAGATGAACGTTCATTGTAGACGTTCCCGACCTTGGACCTCGACGACTGGAAGCTTCGGAAGCTCAGCGCCGAAATGGACCGCCGAAGGAGCTCGTTTCATGCACTTGTTGATGATGCGCACGAGCAAGTTGATGCGATGCTGCTCCGCGCGGGCCTCATGGAAGCGTCCGAAGACACGCGCCATTTAAACGTGACGGTCAACGCCCGGGGCGACTCGATCGTGCTCGAGGCCCACAGTCTTCGGTACCGCGACTGCAATTTCATCTCGAACGGCATGAAGTGCTGGACCGTCTTCAACCACCGCGAAGGCATTGTGCTGCCCAACAACGCGACACTCGAGGTACTTTCCTTCATTTCGTTTGGCTTCTGTGATCGTATGGCGCTCCAGGTGCTCGAGCAAATCGACGAGAATTCCGTCTACGTTCGCATTACGTCGTACCTCGACAAGATGACGCCGTTCATCCAGACACTCGGCGCGGTCAAGCGCTACATTGAAAACGACCGCATCGTCTTCGTGCTCCAGACCGTCCTCGACGACGAAGTGCACCCGCACCAGCTCGGCTTTTACATTGGCAACATGACGGCCACGTATGAGACAACATGTGGCAGTAGGATGTGGCCCTCATAGACATGGATGGATAGGGTCGTCGTCGTACCCCAAGGCCCGTACCGGTCCATGCGCCGCCTGTGCCTCTCGGGGCAGCTGCCGCTCGAGCCGCCCAAGCAAAACCCGCTGTGCGCGAGTCCGCGAAGCCTCATCTGCGATGTCTTTCTGAACCACCTGCGGACGACATTTGATGCGCTCGAGCATCTCATGGGCTAGCCCTTGTACACTAATATAAACACCCACCACATATCCTCCAGCAGGCCAAGGTGACGCGAGAAGCACGCTGGGCGAGAAGCGTGCACATCGCAGCCAGCGTTTACCCTACCCCCGATCGCGTCGGACACAGTCGTTACGTTGGCAAGGGATTTTGTAATCACGAGTTTAGAAACTGGAATGCGGTCATAGGTGCCCGTGTCGCAAGATTGTGGTGATGATGACTGCAGTGGGCCGACTTCATCATCGACGACGTTACCGCCTCGCGGCCTCGTCTATGGCGGCGATGCAGTGCACGACGAGCCTGCACCAGCGGACACGACGCACTTCTCTGTGCTTCTGCCACGTGAGCGAGCACATCGTATCACAGAGGACAGTTTACCAGAATCCTTGCCGTCGACGGCAGCGAGACAAGACAGTGTGCGTATAGTGTAGAACCTAATGGTACCAGTTTTCTATATATATTAGCGGCAGGTACCACGAGCTCGAGCATGTCGGTGCTGTCGGTGATAGCTGTCGTGATGCCGCATCACCATCCGCGGGTGCGCGATCGGGTGGAGATACTAGCGGTGGGTGCATCGACGCCGGATCGTCCTTGCACAAGTGACAAAGGCGACACAAATCGCCAGGAACAGCAGCAGTGCCATCTTGTCTACACCGTATATACGTACAGCGTAGTAGTACTGTACGCGGACGCGTGGACTGAGAACAAAGCCATGCGCTGGAGGGTCGCTTTGTCTCCCTTCAAAATTGGGTGTTTCTAGACGTGGCAGATGCCACGTGCAAAGTACGGAAATAGTGTTTTCACGATTTCATTCGCACACTATATGTACGATGCAAGTGGTGTGCGATCTTGTGTTGAGGCGCTTCAATGCTCTACGTAAAATGCATGCTCGAGGTCCGACGTGCAATTCTATCGCCGACAGAGAAGTCTTGCGTTCGTTGCTGCTGCCCAAAAAATGTGGCACCCGGCAAACGAGCATTTTGACATTTACCGAATAATTAAGGTTTTGATAATACCTGCGCAATGTGGCATATTGGAAGGTACTGCATTCACGTCGACCAAGGTTTCTCTCAGCCATCTTCTTTGCGCCAGATCGCTCGAGTATCCACGTGCTTGCATCGGCCATCGTCCACGCCGCGCCATCCATCCCAACAAAGCCAAGGCTCGGTCGAAAAGAGAGAGCTCGTTGGCAGGCAGCTCTATGCGCACAGAGTGTGCTCACGGCGGCCACTTAGTGCGCAAGCCAACGCACTATAGCCTTCGTACCTTGGAAGCAGTGCGGACACGCCACTCGCCGGATGTGCACCTTCGTGATCTGAGGCTTTGCGTCGTGCCTACCGCTGCTGCCATTGGTCATTCCTTCAAGCCGCCTCCAGTGCAAAGTCAGCATCGCGCCGGTTCCATTCCAGTCTCGCAGCAAGCGACTACGAGGGTCGTTGTCGTCGGTGGCCGCGTTGACTCGCATCGTCTCGTGCAGCCATGGTCGGACGACAAACCTTAAAGTACTACGTCACGCGCCCCATTGACGACCGTGCGACGCACCCTCTGTCCTGCGCCCACGTGTCTTCCTTGGCGATCCTTGCTTTGGCACATGCCATCACGCGCCACCGCGTCCAGCACCCAATCATATCGTATGATACGTGGCGTGCTGGAACGAGCCAATCAAATGGCGCGCAGGCAGCTTCGGGCATCTGATCGCGGGTTGAAGTTGGGCGGCACGGCGTCGTCCAGCTCGAGGTGGTCATTTTCGCATTCGCCATGCTTCGCCAAGTGACCCGCAGCGCACCACTCCGCGCCTTCTCGACGCTGCCCGCGAAGGACGTGGCGTGCGAGCTCGCGGCCTCGAGCATCCGGTTCGGGACAGGCGTCACGAAGGAGGTCGGCATGGACCTCAAGGAAATGAAGGCCAAGCACGTCGTTGTCTTTACGGACCCCAAGCTCAAGGAAATGCCGGTTGTCAAGGTCGTCATGGATTCGCTCGCGCAGAACGGTATCATCGCGCATTTGTACGACCAAGTGCGCGTCGAGCCGAACGACCACTCGTTCAAGCACGCGATCGATTACATGCTCAACCACCCGGCCAAGATCGACGCGATCGTCGGCGTCGGCGGCGGCAGTGTCCTCGACACGGCCAAGATCGCCAACCTCTACTCGATGTTCCCGCCCGAGGACTTTTACGACTATGTCAACCCGCCCGTGGGCAAGGGCATGCCGGTGCCTGGCGCGCTCCTCCCGTTCATTGCGATCCCGACGACCGCCGGTACCGGCAGTGAAACCACGGGTGTTGCGATCTTTGACGATACGCGCCACAAGGCCAAGACGGGCGTCGCCAGCCGCCGCCTCAAGCCGACGCTCGGCATCGTCGATCCGGACAACACGGCGACGCTGCCGCCCAATGTGGCCAAGTACTCTGGCTTTGACGTGCTCTGCCACTCGATCGAGAGCTACACGGCCCTCCCGTTCACGGAGCGCCCGCACCCGGGCTCGCCGGTACATGGCCTTTCTCAGTTTGCCCTTTGTCTAACCCGAGGGAATGTCGTAGGTCCTCCGCCCCGCCTACCAGGGGTCCAACCCGATTAGTGACATCTGGTCGCTCCACGCGCTCCAGCAGACGACTAAGTACCTCCGCCGTGCAGTCGCCGACCCCTCGGACGTCGAGGCGCGCTCGGCCATGATCTTGGCGTCGACGTCGGCCGGCATTGGTTTCGGCAACGCCGGTGTCCACCTCTGCCACGGCATGAGCTACCCGATCGCGGCCCAAGTGCGCAAGTACGTGCCGCCGGGCTACGAGTGCGACCACCCGATGGTGCCGCACGGTCACTCGGTTGTCGTGACGGCGCCCGCGGTGTTCCGCTTCACGGGCAGCGCCGACCCGGAGCGCCACATGACGTGCGCCAAGACGCTTGCGTGGGGCACGGACCGCGTCTTCAAGTACGAGCAAATGTCGGCGGCCGCGATCAAGGAGGCTGCCGGTGAGATCCTCGCCGACGAAGTGCTTCGCCTCATGAGCTCGCTCGATGTGCCGCTTGGCCTTGAGCCGCTCGGCTACACGAAGGACGACATCCCGATGCTTGTCAAGGGCACGCTTCCCCAGCACCGTGTCACCAAGCTCGCGCCCCGTCCTGCCGGCGAGGAGGAGCTCAGTGCCATGTTTGAGAACGCGATGGCCTACTAAGCGACGACACTAGAATAAAGAAAGATGTCTGTGTACGTTGCGCACAGGTCGTCGATGATCTAGCAGCATCGCGAAGAATGAAATGAAATGTTTTGGTGGTTCTTCACCCCGTCGCGCTCGTCCAAGACTTGACGGATCCGTATGAGCCCTCGAGCGCGATACAAGCCGGCAACGTCGCATGCAGCGTGGCCTGTTTGCGTGTGGAGCGACTCGCAGAGCTATCGTTGTCGCTACCGCAGATAACGAAACTATCTGCGAGTGTCCTTGACAAGAAGCGACTGGTTGTCGCCAGTCTCCACTACTTCCCGTCTCTCTCGCGAGTCGGTAAGTCCGTTTTGCTTTCGCCGCGCAACCGGTTGTGTACAGTTTCTCCCTGCCCGTTTGCGGACAAGTCACTTGAGACGAGGCTGGTTTGGCGGGTGCTAAAGTTTTGACATTGAAACATCGTTTGGATTGCCATGCATACAAAAGCTAGCAATATCCCTTGTGCAATGGCTCTGCGGTGACCTTTTATCTTGCGCACTTGCATAGATGCAGGGCAGGAAGCTACTCGTAGAAAGCATTGACGAGTGCCTTGAGACGAGGCTGGTTTGGCGGGTGCTAACACGTACAGTGAGGGGTTGGATAGATATATTACGAAGTACCGGGTAGTTGTTCATTTTCACACGCATCTTCGAGACCGAGGGTTAAAACAGCCTTTGGATATGCACATACATTGTATTGGTGGCATGGGGTGACGATATTTGAGCTACGATGTGATAGTTGGGTACTGTAACGATGTTAATTGGGATTTTGGACGTTGCTCCATACTAGTACGGTTGAAACTTGGATAAATTCATGAAAATGCTTTTTCGTACGTCTTTGCGAGGCCAAGAACTGAGGCAGCATATGCCACTCGAGTGCGTCATTTTATTAGTGTGCGATATCATCGGTTCTCAACCCTCCGTGTCCTTTAGCCGTCGGTAGGGGCCAGGTCGGGCTCGAGTTTGAAAGCCGGTTCGGAGGCGATTCATGGTGAGCATTATCAGTTTCTATGCTAACGCGTCGCTATTCAAAGGGGACACTGAAGCACTAGTCCAGAAAATGGCCGGCGATAGCATGACCGCGGATCGCAACGACAGTGTCCAAGCTCTCGGCCAGTCACAGTGTCCTGGGAGCGTGCCACGTAGTGGGCCATCGTTTCAAAACGGACCAATCGTTGGCGAGTATTTAATTATACCTACAAATACAGAATATACTGTCGATGTTTTAAATACCGCCGGTCAAATGGGTTCGGCGTGTCGCACATCGAAGGGCGTGGTGACGATGGCGAGAAGACGAAGAAGACGCCGGAAGCGCACCGGCGATGCTGCCCCAGGATCTCGTGCATGTCGTCGCCCGCTACGTCGAGGCGCCAGACGACGTTCTGAGCTTCCTCGACGCACTGCCGGCCGGCAGCCGCGGTCCGTCGCTCGGCAGCCTCGTGGCGCTGGCCACCGAGAGGCCGGCGTCGGCGCTCTGGCCGCGGCTGGTGCTGTCGTCTGTAGCGTCAAACCGTCAGCGCAAGTGGCTCTGCAATGCCATGCGCAACCACCCGTGCGTCGAGCTCGACGCCGATGCCCTCGGGCTCTGGGTGCCGCACATCCTTCCGTCGACGCGTCTGCGCATGAGCATCGAGAAGAGTCACGTGGATGCTCTCCCGGATTCCATCTTGTCGGCGCTTTGCGAGCTCGAGATCATGTTGGACACGCCAACTTCCATCTCGGTCTTTGCTTGCTTTCTCCAAACGTTGCCACGCCTCCGTGTCCTGCGACTCGAGTGCCTCTGGACCAGCCTCGATTCGCCGCCGCGCCTCGAGCCGCTTATCGCAGGCCCGCGCCAGGTGTGGCTCGAGTCGGTGGGCTTTTCGTTTCAGCGTGGACACGTGCTCTCGATCGCGACGGTGACTGCCATCGCACAGTTCCTATCAGCGCAGAGCGTGCGTGACGTGAGCTTCCGTAGTGTCGACGTCACGCCCGAGGCCGGCGACACCTTGAGCGCTGTGCTGGAGTCGTCGCAGTCTCTGCAGCGTCTCGTGTTGCAAGAGAGCCATACGCTTGTGGCAGCGCTGACACGCACGACGCGGCATCTGCCACATCTAAAGCACTTGGTCCTCAACGACGTGTCGTGGCGTCATTTGGAGACGCTCTGGTCGAGATTGCCTGCATGTATGAAGGGGCTATCGACGCTCCACCTCTGGCTGGACCACGGCCGCTTGAACGACGACGAGTTTAAACGGTTTGTATCCGTGCTTGGCCAACTCCAGCTCGAGACTCTCCAGCTGCACGCGAAGAACCTATTGCTCAACTACCCGGGGCGCGTAGCTCTCTTGCTCGCAGCGCTGGCGCCGCAAAGAGACTTGGTTGCGCTCACTTTGCACTTTACGATGTTGAGCAACGACGACATTTGGACACTGGCCGCGACGTTGCCATGTGCAGTGGCGACGCTGGATCTGCGATACAACGCGTACAACGACGCCAGCGTCGACGCACTACTGGTCCTACTGCAGCGGCCTGCACTGCGCCACGTGGCGCTTGCCGAGACGCTCTCGCACGCTGCCCAAGACCGCTTGCGTGCGACGTGCCCGAGGCCCCTGCGCCTGACCTTTGACGCCAAGTAGACAGGGATGCGTTTCAAGGGATATCCGTGCATAATTCATGTCCCTGGGTACATGTTCGTTTGCTTGTCGATCGTTTGCTACCGGCCTTGCATCCGCATCCTTTGAGCATGCCCAACCCAAATCCGAGGAAATCCCTCTTGAAATTCGAGAAAATTCGACCCGAAGGCAGTCCCCCTTGTAGCCCCAGTAGAGTTATGGCTCCTCTCATCGACGCTTGTGTTCAAGACCATTGGTGTGAGCCTGAGTATGAGCCATACCAAGGGTCACCCTTGGCCTTACCAATATTCTTGGATGGATTTGGGGGCAGAATCGCTTCCGTTCCCGCCACCATGTTATCCGGATACGTGTCGTCTATCCGGACCATCGAAAGTGCTCGAAAGCCCATACAAAGCACGAGACAGGGATCTTGCCTCCATCATTTTGGATTTGCGGTCAACGAGCGAAAATGGCCAAGATTGTCGAGCTGACGGCCGATGGCGGCGTGAAGAAGGAGATCCTCAAGGAGGGCTCGGGCGAGTTTGCGCCCGCGGGCTACGAGATCCGAGGTACATATGACGGCGTGGGCTAGGCCCGGCGAAAGGCTCATGGCATGCGGCTAGCGCACTACACGGGCACGCTCCTCGACGGCTCCAAGTTTGACTCGTCGCGCGACCGCGGCCAAGTGTTTACCTTTGTGCTCGGGAAGGGCAACGTCATCAAGGCGTGGGACCTTGCATTTGCGAGCATGAAGGTCGGCGAGCGCGCGATGCTCACGTGCGCGCCTGAGTACGCGTACGGCGCGAGCGGGAGCCCGCCCAAGATCCCCGCCAACGCGACGCTGCAGTTTGATGTCGAGCTTCTCGGCTTTGCGCCCAAGAAGAAGGACATGTGGGAAATGAGCGTTGTCGAGAAGCTCGCGGAGGCCGAGGCGCTCAAGGCCGAGGGCACGGCGCTCTTCAAGGCCGGGTCGTTTGATGCCGCCACGACAAGTACCTCGAGGGTGCCAAGTACTGCGACGACGACCACGAAGCCACGGATGCGCAAAAGGCGACGCTCAAGGAAACGCAGACGATCTTGTACCTCAACGGTGCGATGGCGAGCTTGAAGACCCAGTCGTACACGGCGGCGGCGAGTGCGGCCGCAAAGGCGCTCAAGCTCGACAAGAGCAACGTCAAGGCGCTCTTCCGCCACGGCGTGGCGCTCATGCACCTCAACGATCTCGACCGCGCGAAAGAGGACTTGCTCGCCGCGGCCAAGCTCGACCCGCAGAACCGCGACGTGCGCCGCGAACTCGTCGTCCTGAAGGCCAAGATGGAAGAGGCCAAGAAGGCCCAGAAGAGCGCGTTTGGGGTCTCTTTGGCAAGGTCTCGATGTACGACGACAAGGCAGCGGTCGCCAAGGTCGTGTCGCTGGACGAAGCCTCGGATCCGTCCAACCCCAAGGTGTTTTTCGATATTACGATGGGTGGCGCGCCGGCCGGCCGCATCACGATGGAGCTCTTCGCCAACGTTGTGCCCAAGACGGCCGAGAACTTCCGCGCGCTCTGCACGGGCGAGAAGGGCGCCGCGAGCACGGGCCAGCCGTTGCACTACAAGGGCTCGAGCTTCCACCGCGTCATCTCCAACTTTATGCTGCAGGGCGGCGACTTCACGGCCGGCAACGGCACGGGCGGCGAGTCGATTTACGGCGAGAAGTTTGCCGACGAGAACTTTATCTTGAAGCACACGGGCCCCGGCCTGCTTTCGATGGCCAACGCGGGCCCGGGCACGAATGGGTCGCAGTTTTTCATCACGACGGTCACGACGCCCCACCTCGACGGCAAGCACGTGGTCTTTGGCCGTGTACTCGATGGCATGGATGTGGTCAAGGCCATCGAGTCGACCGCAACGGACAAGGGCGACAAGCCCATCTCGCCTGTGCTCATTGCCGACTGCGGCGTGCTCTCGGCGTGATCGTAGTCGTACAAGAGTAGATAAGAAAGAATGAAGGAAATGCCCTTGGGCTGTCTTGCTAGCGTCGTCCGCCCAGCTAGGAGGTTCTTGCAGCATCGCAGCGTCCGAGATGGTGCCGTCCGTGGCGACGGAAGCCATAGCGCTTGCGTGACCCTGGTACGAGCGACGTGCATGCAAAGGTACGTGCTGAATCTCGGTGGCATGCAGTACTAGTACCACGAGAATGTACGTACACCGACCTGCGCACAGAGGCCGCTTACTGCGTGAGTGAGGTGTGGAGCATGATCGTCAAAGATTGTATCTTAACGCAGGAGGTTAAAGTCGTTCATGGTCGCTGTGAGCAGCAGATTGGCCTCCTCCTTGGTCTGCTCGATGAGCGTCTTGTAGTACGCGCGCTCGCGTGCGTGTTGCTGCCGTAGCCGGTCCCGACCTTGGCGCGAGACGTCGGCGAGCATCGCGAGCTGGCGCCCCGTGTCCCGTTCCAGCTCTTCGGCGACGAGGGCGGCGAGGTGCGTCTGTAGCGCCGCCTTCATTTTCTCCAGCAGTTGCACTTGGAGGTCGCTCCGCGACGATGGGGACAAGCTCGGGTCGGCGAGGCGTTCGAGCAGCCCGCGCCGCGACTCGCGCTCGGCGGCCGCGTAGCGCTACATCGCCATGAGGTCGCACCATGTCATTCGCATCCGCTGTACTACCGCCCGCATTGCCTCCATCTTGGCTTCCCAGCCCACTTGCGCCCCGAGCGTCCGCGTCGACTGCGTCTCGGCGTGGAGGATCGGTGACGGGCTCGAGAGCGAGTGGGGTGAGTACATGCCCGCCGCGGCGTACCGCGCGGGGCTTCGCGGCGCCTCGTCCGCGACCTCGACCTCGACGTCTACCTCGAGCCATTCGCCTAGCGGAGCTCCATGGCCATGGCTCTACGACGTCGTCATGCTCCTCGCACCGGTCTCGGCGTCACGGACGCGCATGCTGCAAGATCGAAAAAAGAGCCAATGAAAAAAAGCCCGAGTTTGAGCCAATGGCCTTTGGCGAGACGTTGCACCGCGACGCTTGGAGCGAAACCGGAACTGGCGACGATGGCGGAGGCCGAGAACATCCGCGTGGCCGTGCGCTGCCGGCCCATGAGCAAGAAAGAGATCAACGAGCAGGCCGAGTCGTGCTTCACGGTACAGGAGTCCAATCGACGTAGCGTGTCCATGACGTGGCGCCATCTAGTGCAAGAACGGCAACGCCGTGCTCACCAACCCGGACAACAAGGACGAAGTGCACGAGTACGCTGTGCGAGCCAATTGCTCTCGTCGACTAGCGCTGCGTAGGTTTGGCTTTGACTTTGTGTACCCGTGCGAGACGGAGCAGTGCAAGGTCTTCAACGACTTTGGCCAGCCCGTGCTGCAGCGCGCGTTTGGCGGCTACAATGGCACGATCTTCGCCTATGGGCAGACCGGCAGTGGCAAGACGTTCAGCATGGCCGGCATTGCCGGCAACGAAGACCTCGAAGGCCTCATCCCGCGCATGAACAAGGCGCTCTTCGACCACGTGCACGTATGCACCATGAACCTTCGCACCGGTGGGAGGCTCATGCGGCATGGAATAGGCCGAGAAGACGAACAGCCCCAACAAGCTCTTCCTCGTCGAGTGCTCGTTCTTTGAGATTTACAACGAAATCATCTACGACCTCCTCGACTCGAGGTCCGTGCCACCTCCTCCGAGACGTTGCAACAACCGATGTGTAGCCCTTCCAAAGACAAGAAAAACAAAGGCCTCGAGATCAAGGAACATAGCGTGCTCGGTATCTACGTCAAGGACCTCCAGGAGCGCGTTGTCGAGTCGCGCGACGAAGTGCTCGAGCTCATGGCCCAAGGCCAAGCCAACCGCACGGTTGGGTACACCAACATGAACTCGGAGAGCTCGCGGTCGCACTCGATCTTTGTCATCAAGATCCACCAGAAAGACTCGCTCGACGAGAGCAAAAACGTCTTTGCCAAGGTCAACCTCGTGGACCTCGCGGGCTCGGAGCGTGCGGCGGGCACGGGTGCTGTCGGCACGCGACTAAAGGAAGGCGCCAACATCAACAAGTCGCTCAGTGCGCTCGGCAACGTCATCAACGCGCTCGTCGAGGACGCACGGACGGGCAAAATCGTTCATTCCGTACCGCAATTCCAAGCTCACGCGCGTGCTCCAGGTAGCTTTGAAGACGGGATCGATCGAGTGGTAGATGGATGATGCTATGTTGGGACTAGGAGTCGCTCGGTGGCAACTCGCTCTGTTCGATGCTCGCAACTCTCTCGCCGGCCAACATCAACTTTATCGAGACGCTGGGCACGCTCAAGTATGCGAGCCGCGCCAAGTCCATCAAGGTCAACGCCAAGAAGAACGAAGAGGCGAGCCAGATCTCACAGCTCAACGAAGAGATTGCAGCGCTCAAGAAGCGCCTCATGGAGCAGCAGAGCATTAGCGTCGACCCGGCCGAGAAGAACGAAGTCATTGCGCGGTTTGAAAAGCAGATTCAGGAGATGGATGCAGTCCGGCTACAGACATGGGAAGACAAGGCCAAGCTCAGCAAGCAGCACGAGCTCGAGCGGAAAAAACTGGCCAAAGAGAAAGCGCGCGCTGACCAAAAGACCCAAGATGAAAAAATCAAAAAGTGGAAGCTCTTGGAAGCCAAAGCCGACATTGAACTCGCGATGCGGGCGACGCGCGAACTCGATGTCGGTACCGACAGCTGGATCCACATGGCCGCCAAAGCCAAGGCGCTCGAGCAAGACGTTAAGGACGCGCGGACGCTCATTTGCGTCTTTAAAGACTCGCTGGACAAAGACGTCCTCAACTGGAAGGGCACGGACGACGACGCATCGTCCGTGCACGTGACCGCGAACCAGCTCTGCACAAAAATCAAAAACATTCAGGAGGAAAGCGCCAAGATGATGGCCCTCGAGAGCGAGCTCTTGCGGCAAACGAGTGCGATTCTGGACGCGATTGCGACGGAGATGGACGTGCTGCAGCGCAACTGGACGACTACGGTCGCGACGACGCCGCCACCCTCGAAAGAAGCCAAAGTGCTCTACGAAGACCGCGACAAGGCGCTGAGCATCACGATGCACATGGTGCAAGCGTACCGCGCGGCCTTGCTGAGTACGCTCAAGTCGGAGCGGAAGCGCATCTTTCACGTACGGCGTTCTTTCGAAAAGGAAATGGCGAGCTCATGGTTGTATGCAGATGCACGACGCCGCCAAGCTCCTCAGCAACGAGCTCCAGGCCCAAGTCGAGAGCCCGCACATGGATGACGAGCGCAAGAAGGCGCGCGCGATGGCCCTCAAGTCGCTTGCCGGTGCGCTCGACGCCATCTCGGACGCTTCGCACGCCACCACGTCAGAGAATGCCAGCGATGCAGCGCCGACGTACGAGCCCAAAGGCGAGCCGTTTGCGTTCGGGCTGGAAAAACGACTGCTCGGCGACGACCGGCTCTCGGCGTCGTCGGGCGATGCCAAAGCCGCGCGCTTGCACGGGGCGGGGAGCTGGGCGCCGTCACCGGGCGACGTGACACCGTGGCTACGCATCGACTTGGAGAAACCTCGTTTTGTTGTCAGCGTCAGCGTCCAGGGCGGCGTCTTGGGCCAAACCAGTGCCGAGGACCCGCCATTGGACTTGTCCAAAGCCCACATGGACACCGTGCTGAGTCAAGTGGCGGCGACCGCTGTCAGCGGGGACCACGACCAGACATACGAGATTGCAAAGTACGGTTCTGTTCGACGACGGCGTGTCCTCATTCCTGTGCGCGTAGACACATCATGTCGTGGGTCAAACTGCTCAAGTCGCCGCAAGTACCCACGAAGCTCTTTAGCCGGCCGCCCGTCCGGTTCCTCCATGACGTCATCACGCAAGTCGCGCTCAACACAGGGTACGGCAAAGACGTCTTCTCGGAGAAAGACAGGGACTACAACCAGCTCACCGAGAAGAAAGAGAAAGTCGAGTACCTTCTCAAGGTCCTTCAGCTCGTCCAAACCACGTACACCAATCTGGAGGTGACCATGTCGTCACCGTGGCATATGGTAGGTTCCAGGGAGTCATAGACGTCAAGGCCACGGACGCCAACATCCTTGCTGGAAAGGAGCCCGAGCAAACGATGCAGCTGCTTGGGCTATTCTGCCTCGGTGCCATCAAGCATGTCGCGACGCACGGCGCTCCTGTGCCACAAGAGGCGTGGGTCACCGAGCTGCAAATCGAGACGAGCGTTGAGGGGGACACTTGGGTGCAGTTGCCCGCCCCCGTGGTTGCCAATGTCGACGTGACCTCGGTTGTCGTCCTTGGTCTGCCCCCCAACACGGTCGCCCGGTACGTCAAGCTACTGCCGACCAAGTGGCAGAACACGCCAGCGCTTCGGGTCGAGGTGATGGGTATGGCCGCCGTGAGTGCAGACTCGGGTGTGGATGCGATTCAAACCGAGATCCTCGGCTACCTCGGGCTGCTGACCAACCTTCTCTCGGCGGGCGAGCTCGTCCTCGAAGAGGCCAAGGTCAAGTGGGCCCAAGCAAAAGACAGCCAGCGAGAAAAACAAACCGCACTCAACAACCTCGTCCAAGAGGTGTGTTTCGTTGCTTTGTGAATGTGGATTGAGGTAGCGATCCTGTAGATGGACACGTGGAAGGCCCAGACGCAGACGCTGCAGGCCAATTTGGACGCGGCCAACAAGGTCATCGACAAGTGGAAAGCTGAGAAAGGCGAGTCGGACTCCAAGCTCTCGGCTGCGACCGCTCAAATGCAAGCTATTTCGGCGCAGTGCAAAGCGACAGAAGACCACCTTGCGCAGGCCAAGGCAACGATCGACAGCCTCACGACCCAGTGTGCCGAGCTCACGCAGGCGAACGCTGCTGTCACGCACCAGCAATCGCAGCTCGAGGCGCAATTGACGTCCATGACACAGGTACATTGTGTGCTGCCATCGTTCAAGGTATCAACGTAAAGTAGTCCAAGGCCGACTTGGAAAAACTGAGCGAGAGCTTGCGCGCGCAATTGAGCTCAAAAAGTGCCCTCGAGGGCGCGACCGACTCGCGCATGGCGAGCCTCTCGGCCGAGCTCCAGACCGTCACAATCCAATTGGACGAAGCCAAACGCAACATTGAGCGGACGGCCAAGGCGCTGGCCGAAGCCGAGGCGGACAAGTCGACCGCGTCGCAGCAAATAAAGGCGCTCAAGCTCGAGGCGACCACCAAAGACCGCGCCAACGAAGCGCTCGAGGCCAAGTTTAAGGCGGACGTCGCCGACCTCCAGCGGCAGCAAGCGGCGACGAATGCGGCGCTGCAAGAGTCAACGGCCCAACGCTCCGAGGTGGAAGGCCAGGCGCAGCGTGCCCAAGCTTTAGTGGCAAGCCTGCAAGCCGAGCTGTGCGTGTCGACTCTTTTCGTGTTGATAGATTGATACATTTTGGTGGGTAGGGAAGCGACCAAAAAGCGACAGACGGAGAACGCAACGTCCGAGATCAAACGCCTTCAGGACGAAGCCAGCGAGGCTGAGAAGCGGTACTTCTCCGTGCAGACGCAGCAAGTGCGGCTCCAAGCTGACAACGAGCGGCTCGAAGCGAAATTCGCTGCCGCGGACGAGAAGCTTCGCGTGCTGGACGCCAAGCTGCTCGAGGCGACGGCGACGATCGAGTCGCTCCAGCGCGAGAAGAAGCAGCTCGAGGAGCTCGAGGAAGAACTCAACCTGCAGCTGCAAGTCGTTACGGAAGAACGCGACTCGGCGCGCCAAAAAGAAGAAATTCTCTTTTTTGAAAACGCCGAAAAGGATCAAGAAATCGAGCGCATCCGGGACGGCTACGGTAACTATTACCATCTCGATGGCTCGGTTGAATCGACATGTGGTAGTCTGGGTCACGGACCGCATGAACAACAAAGAAGACGAGCTCGCCGAGCTCCAGGAGCAAATTGAAAATACCAAAGTCTTCTTCGCCTCTCGACGAGCAGCGGTAGATACGCCACCGTATCCTGGATCTCATCCAACGATGTTAGAGACACCGAGTCGTCCAAGCTCGAGTCAGCCCGCGACGCAAAGTGTCGGGGACCTCGCGAGCCTGTACCGCATCGCCTTTCAGAAAGGTACGAGAGTAGTAGTAGTACGCATGTCATGCGACGTTATTCTGCATTAGACTGCCCTGCGTCGGCGTCGCCGAGTGAGCTTCTGCAACAACTGACGCACTGGATGCGAGCGCAGTCGCCCGCGGCCAACGCCCCGGCCGAGAGGCCGACGACGGGTCCTTCCAGCCAGAATGTCCAGCCGGCGGCAAAGCCAGCCAATACCGTCAAACCAGCGGTTGCCACACCCGCCAAACCGCCAGCCACCAAGCCCGACGCGCCGCCGACGTCTGTGACGCAAGGCGCGTCACACACCAAGCCACCCGAGGTCAGCGTCAAGCGACAAGTGTCGATTGAAGACTTGTCGCCGCCCGCGCGCATCGAGCCCAAGCCGGTGCTCGTCACCGGCAAGTCGGTCGCGTCCGAGATTTACGACGACAACGAGTACGACGACGACTTTGATGCGGCCGACGACGACGACGGAGCGAAGCGCACCAAGGCCAAGCGGCGCAGTCTCTTGAATGGCGAGGCCACCGTCGAGCCTGCGCCAGTGCTTGTGACAACCTCCAGTAGCACCCACTAAGAATGTCAAGCCTGTAATATATATGTACGACGACGCCTCAAGGACCCTCTTCTGTGCTAGACAAGCAGTTGTTTCGAAGTGCGAAGTATCAGTGTATCAGGTGGAACGTTCTTTGAATCAAAACGTTCCTGGAAAAAGATCGCGATCTTGGAGGGGCGCGCCACCACCAGTCCAGTTTTGCGTTGCGTACGATGGTCGACGACTTGCAGTCGTCGGAAGAGGTACGACCTTCCTTGCTCGCATCAGCAGCAGCAGCGGGAATGCAAGCTGTCTCTGCGCTAGCTGGCCTTTGTGGCCGAAGAAGTCGACCGCATCATCCTCCAGGTACACGGCGCTGGCATGCACAACGCGATTCATTGTCCTAGTCGGTCGAGTACTTTTTAAAAGACCGGTCGTATGAAGAGTCCGAGGTGTCGCACTGGGTCGACTCGATCTGCGATGGCATCATGAAGGGCCTCTGCGAGCTGCGCAAGCCGCTCAAGTACATAGGTACCCTGCGCACTTGATCGTCGCCAATCGTGTTGACGCAACCATTTCAGTAAGCTGCGTCATCATGCAAAAGAACGGCGCGGGCGTCCACTCGGCCGTGTCGTGCCACTGGGACACGGCCATCGACGGTATTTGATCATCTTTCGTAAAAAGTCCATCTTGTGAGAGCGTTCCGTAGGTGCCCACGTCGTCAAGTGGCCAAGTGACAAGCACAAGGAGCACAACCGTACCATGTACTGCATCGTGACGGTTGGTGGTCTTGGCTTCTAGGCATGAAAGACATGTAATCTTCAACAGCCATATTGTACATTAAACAAACGTGTTCAAGTACATCGCAGCGTCATCGCGCCCTTGTAGAGGACTGAAGCACCCGTTCACCCATTTCTTGTGGGAGCAAAGGACGTTTGTCTTGACCAAAGCACACAAAACTCGTATTCACCTGTGGCCTACAGACTATGGCGTTCCTTGGGCCTTTGGTGTGGTCTGGGTGGAGGAAGCTTTTCGCACCATCCCACGAGGCGGGTCGCTTAGAAGCGCTCGAGTACGGTATTGCGTGAGCCAATCACAGCGTCGACTAATTTGGGCGCGGCAAAGAGCGTCAGTTGACCTGCATACTTGGCGCCATGAACGTGACGAAGCGACTCAAACCAACGGGGCCCGAGCCGGCCGCCTTGCCGCAGGACCTCCTCGAGAAGATATTGGGCTACCTCGACATGCACACTACCTTCTTCGCAGCGCTGGACGCCCTTCCAACGGTTGCGAGAAACCCGTTCCTGCTGGCTCTCTCGACGCTTCGTCACGAGTGTCCGCCATGGCTGCTCTGGCCGATGCTTTATGTGCGTGACGTTTCGGCCGAGACGGCAGGGCTCAGGGCAGTCTTTGAATGCGCGTTAAGCAGCCACCCGCGCGTTCAACTGGAATCCAACAGCCCGGTCCGGTACTTTGACATGGCTTCTGGCGATGTGCACTTGACGGTGGACGCAGTTGTTCTTGTCCATCTCAGTGCGGCGTCCTTGGCAACGGTAACCGACTTGACCGTGGACATGACGGAAGGACAATCGCTCCAGGGTGTGGCCGCGCACTTGGCCCACGCCCGCCACCTTCGTTCGCTCTGCCTTTCGTTGAACATCCGTGAATTGGCCCAAGAGGACACGCTTCCGATCCTTCGCGAGACGGTGTCATTCTCTCTGCGCTCGATGCATCTCAAGCTCTTAGGGGATCGCACGCCTTTTGTCGACGAGGCCATGTCGCGCCTTCTGGCACAAGCGCTCGTGTCGTTTCCCGTCACACGCCCCTTGTCGACGAGGCCATGTCGCGCTATCTGGCAGCGCGTCTGCTCTACGACGCGATCGAAGATGCGCGAAAGCTTCACAGCGTCCACTTCTTTGCAAGCTCGGACCTTGCGTGTTTGCTCTCGGCCTTTGGCCAGCCGTGGACATGCCACCGTCTCCACGAGCATGGAACACGCTGCAACGAGAGAGCGACTGCGTCGGCCGAGCAAGTATTTCCCAAGATTAAAGCGTGGACTATCGAGCCACGGTCGTCCGAGACAAGCCGTGCCTTGAGGTCGCTGGCCGTCATGACTTCCGCGCGCCGATGCTCAATGACTTTTTGGGGCGAGCTGGACGAGACGGACTTTGTGACGGAGCTTTTGCCGCGCCTCGGACGACTCTCGCGCGTGCAGTCAGTCGCACTTTCGGGAGGTCAGCTCTTTGAAAACGCGTCTCGCATCTCCCCACTGATCGAAACTCTGCGTGGTTTGCGTCATCTGACGTCGCTGCGCCTATCGTACACGGGCCTCACATCGGACGGCCTTCGATCACTGCTCCCGCTCGTGGCCGCGCACCCCCAGCTCGCGCACCTCTACTTGAGTGGTAACGACTTGGCGGACGATGCAGTGCCATTGCTTAAGCAAGTGATTGCAACGTCGCAAATTCAGTCGCTTTGGATCACCTCCAACGAGCTCACGGATGACGCTCAGGACGAACTCCTTGACTACACCCGTCAACTGCGTCGGTCGCCACTGTACCTTGCGCTGACCTTGATAGACTGCTGCGAGAACGAGGGTGAATGAACAACCCGTGCGAACGCTCTCATTCGATCAGGGGCACATAAAAAGAGGAAGCTGGAAAAGTCGGCGTTGAACACCCTCTTGTTTGATGTACAATTGTATTGCATTTGACATACCACCACGCCATCCATGGTATAGTACGAGTGCTGTCTCATGTCGCCGAAGGTCCAGTTGTTGAATATCGAGCAAACGCAAGGGTAAGGACAAAGCGAGGTAGCGTGACGACACCCCGCGCAGAGCACGAACCTCGACGCAGCCAGTGGGCTCGTTTCTTAAACGCCGGAGCTCCGCGCAAAAGCACCTCGACAGAACGTCCCACTGTGCCCTCCGAGCCCGTCGACGACGCGCTGGTATGTCATGCACCGGCGGTCTCTTGATGGGCAGCTCCAACCCATATCGCATTCGGTTAGCTTGTTCGTTCCTACTCCCACTACTCGCTTTTCATGATGTGGGAAAGCATCCTCAACAAATAGACAGCGATGATCCCACTACGGATACGCCCGCCGGGCGAAACGCCGTCGCCAGTCGCCGGTTTCGTGCAGCATGTCGGCGCTACTTCTCTCGTGGCTTCGGTCGACGGCGCAGCTGCCGCGGTCGGTCGAGTGCCTCGAGCGGGATCTCAGCAATGGGTACCTCCTCGGCCACATTCTCTCGTCGCTCGAGCTCGAGGCGGCGCCCGAGAGCTACGCCGACTCGGCCAATCTCGCGTCCGTGCTCCTCAACTTTGAACGCCTCGAGAAATCGCTGCATGGCGTCGGGATTCGACTCGCGCCTGACACTGCGCGCAACATTATGATGGAAAAGAAAGGCGCAGTCGCCAAGGTCGAAAAGTCGCAGCGGCGTCGAGGCCTTATTTTACACTGTAGTTGCTCATGCAACTCAAAGAGCACGTGGATCGCAAGGAAGCGTCGCGGCCCCAGCGCATTGAGCCAGCGACGGCGTCGTTGCGCCCGCCGCCGGATGGTAGCCACCGCCATATGCCCGCGCCTGATATGACAGTACACACCTGCATCCACGTCGGTATTGCAGACACACAATCCTATATGCATGTAGAGCCCAAGGGATCGGTTTGTGGAGAATATCATCGCATCCATCGACCCGTCCGACTGGAACAACCACAACCGCGTCGATATGGCGATTCACTTGCGCAAATTTACCGAATTCATGTGGTCGGCGTCGGACGCAACCGCAGCCGTAGACGTCAACACCGGTGTCGCATTGCTTATCGTAAAGAATGTAGCACTTTGCCTCTGAGCACGACCATAAGCTCGCGGCCGCCCGCCGCACGCGCGACGACGAGCTCACGCACACGCATGAAAAGCAAGCGTTCCTCGAGCAGTGGTCGGCCATGGGGCGCGACAAGTGGGCGGCCAACCAGGCACTTCTTCGAGCCCCAATCGCTGCCTCCTTTTTCTCAACAGTAGAATGGAAATAGGCGGTCAAGCGCAACCGAGAGGCCGAGCAACTCCAGTTTGAACTCAGCTTGCGGGAGCGCCGGCGCGTTATCATTGCCCACGCCAACGAGGCCGCAGCGATGGACCTCGCCGACGGTGTTTCGAGCTTTGATAAAAATTTCAAGCGCCTCGGCATTAGCTCGGGCGACGACGACACGGGAGTGCGCTTGACGCCGGCCAAAGGCTCGGGGCTCGACCACCTCGTCGAGCTCGAGACCCGCGTCGAATCCTTCCATTTGCGTCCGTCCAGCAACATTCAAATGATGAAGGAGCTCCGCGACCGGCGGAAACTGCACCTCAACGCGCAGCGCGAACGCGCGAGCCGGCGCCGCAAGATGCTCGTGGACCAGACGCGCAATACCATTGAAGTACTATTTGAGATACTTGCGTATCCATTGATCGTGTGACTATAGATCAACCGGAAGCAAGAAGAGGCCGCGCTCTTGCACCGGCTCTTTATCGTGGGCAAGCGCCGACGCAGCGTGCTGCAAACGTTGTGGGAAGTGCGCCATGTCCACGAAAAACCAAGAACGAGGCCAACGTCGCCGCCACCGAGCGCGTCATCGCCTACGCCGCTATGATCGAAGCCGCGGCGGCCACGAGCCTGGGCGAGCTGCACGTCGCCGCGATGGCGCCGGACGCGGTTGCCCGGCGCGCAGAAACGCTGCGGGCCGCCGTCGACGAGGCGCGCGTGCACGACGAGCGCAAGCTCGAGGCGCACACGTTGCTTTGTAGTGACGTTCTCGACACCTTGCTGTCATTTGTGCACACAGTTGTCGTCCACCGGTAGACAATATTGGTGGATGTACAATCCTGTCACTGACGATGCATATAGCGCGTCAACGCGTCAGCCGATGCCGGCGCCGCTGTACCGGTCGCTCAAAGCACAGTTTGTCTCGGGCGCCATCCGCGGACCGTCTATGGACACGACGCCGAGCGAGCGGAGCGGGTGTAGTAGCATCGAAGTCGACTACTTGCTGCGCGACTACGTCCGCAACGACGGCGTCTTTGGCACACCCGACATGGGCGACCCGCCGCCGACGACCGACGTCGACGCGGTGGGCGTTGCAACGGCGTCTGTTTGCACTCATTCTATTGTAGATCCAAGCGACCATCCATGCGCTGGCGACGACACCGCCTAGTGAGCTCCTCATGACGTCGTGGCCACCGCTCGCATCTACATTGTCCCGACCGCTCCTTCTCTGCTGGTACGCCAAAGACAGCAATAGCAAAGTCGCAAAGACGCTCGCTGCAAATACGGGGTTGCAGCTGATGACCGTTGATGCGTGCGTCGATCGGTGTGTCAAGCTGAGCGAGCGCGGCAAGCCAGCTGCGGGTGAGAAGCCGTTGCCCCTTGAAGTACCCGCCCCATTGAGCGTTCAAAAAGTATCAATGTATCAATGTAATGTAGGTGGAAATGGCGGCGCTCGGCACCAAGATGACGCAGGCGCGGGCCAAAGGCGGAGTGATCCCGGACGCTGTCGTGTCCGATATGGTATGCAAAGCGCTCGTGCACGTCTTTACACAAGCCGACGCGGCGACGTTTCTCGGCGTGATCCTTCTCAACTACCCTCGGTGCGCTTGATACATTGATAGACTATCATCGATCATCTTGCCTGTAACGATGACGCTAGCTCCAAAGAGGAAGCCAAAGCGTTCGAGGTCGAGATGCTGAAGCGTTTCCATGGTCTCTCGGACACCGAGCTCGCCCTTCGAAGCACGCAGCTAGTCGCATCCTGGGACGAGAAGGTTGTCGTCACGGAGGGCGCGCCACTCTCGAGCATCGACTGGGCGCTTTTCCTCGACGCCAGCACCGACGCGCTGGTCGCTGATGTTGGCACAGATGCTGCCAAGAAGACGTGCTTGCTCGCGCCGAGACGTGGACGACGACGACGGCAGCGCTGACTGCATTCTGGAAGCCGCTTGGCTGCGCCTTCACGGTGCGCAAGCATTGGATAGGGTTGTACCAAGTGAACGATTCGTAGTTGAACACTACGACGACGCCCGCGCTGGCGCTGGACGAGACGCTGCAGGCGCTGCTTCGGCTGGCGCCAGACGCGCATCATATCTTGCTTGCGACCGACCCGGACAGGTTTGTATCGGCGCTGACAGCGATGAAAAACGACCGCCGACGGACGATGACACACCCGGAGCTCCTCGTCGTGCGCGATCGATGCGGCGAGCACTCGCTGCCGTGGGAATCGCTCCGGGATCTCGACGACGCGGTCAACTACCACGTACTTGACCTCGGTCTCTCTTCTCTCGTCTTTCATGCAAGAAACGTGCGGTAGGACGTGGAGCAGTGTCAAGTGGATCGTGTGCGGGCGCTCCAAGCCTTCTACGAGAGTTTGCAGAGCTTTTCGAGGCCTTTTCTGCGTCTCCGCAATCAGTTTCTCGCCGTCTTGGATGCCAACACGTCCCAGCAGACCGTCATTGACGCCGCGTTGCAGGATCTTGCCGCGCCTCGGACGTTTGCCTCGCCCAACGAGCGCCGCGAACATGTCCGCGTATGTCAATGTCATCGTCGCACTAGGATTCAACGTGATGTAGCGACGCGTCATGGCGCTGGAAGTGGACCTCGGCGACCTTGTCGACGCCGTTCGAGGCCCCGCCAACGCCTTTCTGCAGTCGCCCGAGACGTGGCACTTGTCAGTGGACGTGTTCCTCAAAAGTGTGGTCACCTGGGCGACGGCGCTGCTTCGCACAGAAAAGAAGCAGCTGCTGCGACGTCTCCGGCACTTGACCTCGTATTTCGAGCTGGTAGACCCCATCGCCGCCGTGTCGTCAACAGAGAACGACGCTGGCATGCATGTGGCCTTGGACGCGCTGCAGGCATTTCCGCCAACGTCGACGCTGCACGATGCACTTGATGACATCGTCGGCGACGTTGTCTCCAGCGCATCATCGGCCGGCAGCTCTCTGCAATCGTACGTTCTCGATACCGAGCGCGCGTTGTTTCTGCGCCGGTGCATCGGTGTCGTTCGCTTCGCCGACAACGTGGCACGCCGGGTGGCCGGCGCCGTCGACGCAGAAAAGACGAGCCTCGACAAAGCGCTGGTGGAGTTTGTGCACCAGGATTTTCGCCATATTGCCCATGTGATCGAGGCCCTTCGCGCGATTCGAGACGCGTCCACACCAGCAAAAGTGTGCTGGCCGCGCCTGCAGTCGCTAACAACACCGCTCGATGGCCACGGCGTGCACATGGCTCACCACAAGTGCTTTTTAAGCGTGCACCACTTGCGTTGGATCGTCCGCGCGCTGCAGGCAGCGACAAACAACAGCCAAGGACAGCCGCTGTCGGTCTCCGCGTTCACAGCAAGCATCGTCCAAGTGGCCACTGCGCAGTTGCTACCGCCCGTCTGGACGTCGTACCCGGCGGTGGCCAACATGGCGGTTGCGTTTGCGACGGCCGATGCCGTCGACTGGCGCCGCCTGCTGCTCTCGCTCGCAATAGCACAAAAGCTACCCGTGCCTGACGTCCGGGACCTCGAAACGCTCTGTGGGCACTGGCGCACCCGTCGGACGCTGGACGCCGTCGTCGACAAGGCGGCGTTTTTGAGTGCGCCACTGTGGTGCCACGACTCGGCGATCCAGCATCTGCTGCACGAGTTGTTTGCAGACGCGGCGACGGGCGACGTGGCGGTCGTTCCGTTCCTCTTGCACATGTGTGCCTCGAGCCACCCGCTGGACGTGCTGCCGCCGTGCCATGCCAGCTTGGCTCGCTTCTCGCGGGGCGTTGCCAAAGCCACGTATGTCTTGGACCACTGGCCACCCATGAACGAGAACGCAGGTGACGACCTGGCGTCGGTTCCCGCACTGCTCCACGCGTTCGCTGGTGTCCATGTGCCCGAAAGTGACGACCCTTCGGTGGCTTTGGTCGACGCACACGCGCTGCAATCCAAGTTTGCGCTGCTCAACCCCTACGTCTACTTGGTCGAGCACGAGGATGCATCGTCATAGTGCCTTCTCGAAGGTTCCACGACTTACTTTATACCTGTTGTAATACATCATCATACACAAGTCAGAAACACTCGAAGTCGAAGACGGGTGACCGACCATCCTTTTCTACACATGGGCGCCACGTGGGCGAGAGCTCGTCTGAGAACCGCCCGCTGCATGGGAAGCGACACCTGCAGCGGATGGTTGATAGCGCTGGCATCCTGACATCCGTGCACTCGATGGCGCATGGTGCAAGTACGTGCCGTTGGTTGTCTCTCTCGGAGCGACGCGTCGGCAATCACCCTCAACACAGTAGAACAAAGCACCCGTTGTTTCCTCTTGGGTCTTAAATAAGGAACACACCCGACAAGGGCACAACGTCGGTTTGCTCCATGCTGGTAGTAGCCTTCGTTGGCTGGCTCTTCTTTCGCTTGGTAGTAGATTTTGCGACGCGGGTCGTGCGCCGAAGCGTCTTGACGACCGAGGACGCGGTCGCCTTCCCGCGCACCCGCACGGTCGGCGCGTCGTCTTCCTCGACGTCGAACCGCTGCTGGATGGCGCGCCAGCGCTTCCGAATCTGGTCCGGGTACCGCCCGGGCAGCATGGCGGCAATGTCCGGCCAGGCGTTGGTGCCATGGAGCCGGATGCCCTCGGCGATCACCATGTCGTCGGCTTCCGTAAAATGGTCGTATTTTTTGAACGGGTTGAGCGAGTCGCGGTAGCGCTGGCTGCACATGACGTTCGTGCGACCGGGCATGAGGTCTTGGACCTTGTGCCAATCCAAATTCGAGCGGGCAGTCATACCGCCGTCGGCGTCGGCGGCCACGACATACATGGCGAGCAGCAGTCGCCGGTCTTCCTCGACCGAGAAATGGCCCGTCTTGACGGTAGGACAGAGGTGGTTGCGCCACCGGTACCCGCACTGGTCGGGCGTGTGCCCGATCGCGAGTTTCTCAGCCACGAGGCGCCAAATGTTGCTCTCGTTCCCGGCCATCGTCGCCATGACGTCGCGCAGCAGCTCGTCTTCTTCCGGTGTCCACACGCTCGGAAACAAGTCGTTGTTGCACATGGTTTGGTACCGAATGAGGCACGACACGGGAAGGCGGGGTGGAAACCCGTGCTCGGTGTGCAGTGTGTTTGCAATCGCTGGCCAGTCGTGGCTGGTGGCAACGAGGCGGGCGAGCGCTTCGTCTTCGCGTGGTGTCCACGCACACGCCTTCTCGAGCATCTCCTCTTGCAGAATCAAATGCCGCAGCTGGCACGCACGCGGCGTTCGGTCGGCCAGCCCCGCCTTGGCGCGCACCCGCTCCCAATCGATGGACGACGTGCCGTCGTCATCGTCGAGCGCAACGATCGCCTTGTTGAGGCCACTCACCTCGGCGGGCTTCCACTTGCGAAACAGAAGCATCTTCGGGTCCGGGTACCGCTGCTGGATGATCGTCAAGTGTTGCACGTCCGGGTTGGTGTAGTACAGGCTCACACTACCGCCGTGGACGCGCGCGCAGGGTACTTGGAAGAACGCCGACCGCTTCTCACGGTACGCACCGAGAAGCCGCTTCTTCGTACCGCGCGGAAGCGTTTGCGGCGGCGGCTGCATTGCGAGATGCACCTCGGTGTACGTGACCCGGCTCGCGGTCGCGGCGGCGACCTTGTCGGCCAGCACCACGTCGTGGCGCCCGCGCTTCCGCGCGCGGATTGCCCGCAGCCGGTCGTGGATCTCGGCCTCCTTCGTGTCGCACGTCTGCACGTAGGCCTCGAGCGCGCGCACGTAGGCGAAGTTGGCGGCCAACGCAGCCTCGATCGCGTCCATCGGCCGACAAGATCACCAATGGCATGCCAACCGCCCTATCCGGCAAAAATCCGCGTTAGTATCCGGATGCAATCGCAACGGAACGGTCCGGCCGCGGCCGTCACGGACGCGCTCATCGCGAACCGGGCGTACATGACCGCGCTCGAAGAGACGCTGCGCGTGCTCGAGGCGCGCGAGCATGCGATCCAGACGCGCATCTGCGCGATTCGCACGAAGGCGCGGAACAAGGTCATCCACCCAGCCATGGCGGACGCTCGCATCCAGGCCGGGCTCGCCGCCCACACAAAGGCGGAAGCGACGGTCCAGTCGCTCCTCGCATGCTACGAGCCGGCGCCGCGCGTGGCGAAGCGCAAGCTGCCGTTCTTGGCTGCCGAGTACTTGGTGCAGAACGCGGCCGGCAAGGTCGTGCCGAAGCGGATACCACCGGTCACGTCCGTGTCCCGACACCTCGCTCCGTACCGCGAAGAGCTACGCGATGCCATTGGCGCTGCGCGCATCCTCGAGCGACGTGCGAACCACATCAAGCGCATCTTGCAGCGCCTGCCGCCCGAGCCGTCGGCCATGCAGCCCGACGACTGGGTCGCGTTCGTCGCCGAGCACGAGCTCTCGAAGCGTCCTTTCCATTACGCCCTCGCGTGGAACCTGCAGGTGTCGCCGCACTGGCGCCGCGCCAAGTGGACGCTCAAAGAGGACGAGGCGCTTGCGACGCTGGTCGAGACGGGCGCCACGTGGGACGTGATTTCGACGCAGATTGCGCGCGTCTGCAAGACAGCGAAGCGCCGGCCGCCCGTCGACTGCCTCATGCGTGTCGTAGCCCTCCGCGCCGAAGCGACGCGCCTCGCCGACGCCGGCCCGCTGGCCGACACGGTGGTCGACCACAACCCGCACTCGGACCGCCGTCTCCTCTGCGCCGTGTACATGTTGCGAGCACCAAGAATGGAAGCCACCAACTGGGCAACGATCAGCCACTTTGTCGGTTTGGAAGCGCGCATCTGCCGCGACCGCTACTGGACCACCTACCACGCGAAGATGGCGCGCGCCCGGCGAAAGCCCCGGCCAGCAATGATCGAAGACGAGGAAACGGAAGTCGTCTCTGCGTAATATGTGTCTTGTGCGCCCTTGTCGCATGTGATTTCTGCAGGCTCTCTCTGCTCGATGCTGTGGCCAAGGCAAGTCAACTTGATTTGTATCCCTTGGCTGGCGTCCAGGGATCGAGGTGTCTGGTTTCTGCGTGTGACGGACGGCGCCGGACTCTAGCACCCACAATAAATGCGTCGATGCTGCAACTCGGAGCTAGCTCGTGGCTACCCCGCTGGCGTGCTACCAGAATCGTACTCGTAGAAATACTTAAGATGAATGACAAGAGGAAAATGATGCTGTGCTGGAGTTCGAAGCCCTGTCCGCAGAAAAGTCACGACGCACGCGGGTATGCACGAGGCGTGGAAGCACCGAGAACGGCTCGGTCGACATGCATGTACCGTCCCTGCTTCGCACGCCCCCATCTGCAGAACCCTTGCTCGCTCGCAGCAGAGTGCTCGACGACGAACACGAACGCAAGGCTAGAAACTGATGTGTTTGGGACACGGCGTCAGCGACTGGGCCGTGGCGTAGTTGATCTGATTGCGGCGGAGGTCAATGAGCTCGAGCGACGGCCCAAGGCGGCGAAAGCAGTCCGCTGTGCACGCATTGAAAATGGCTCGACACCCGTCGTTCTTGATGCCGTTGGACTTGAGGTCGATCGTGACGAGGTGCTGGAGCGCACCCGCCAAGAAGGCGTGGGCAACCGCCTTGCCGCCGCGATCGCCAACGAGGTTGCCAGCAAAAACGAGGTGCTGCAGCTTGGGTAGGCCGCCACTCGAGAGCGCCTCAAAGAGCTGTATGAGCGCCGTCGCGTCGAGGCTGTTGGCCCGCAAGTCGAGGCGTGTTAGCAGACCACACGCGCCTTGCTTGAACGCCTCGGCGAGGGACAGGACGCCCCGTAGCTTGATGTCGTTCCAGGACAAGTTGAGCTCCATGAGGCGCGGACAAGCGCCTGTGAGGAGCGACTTGCCGAGCTCAATGCATGCTGCCTCGCCGATGCGATCGCCTTTGCATTCCTCGACGTGGCGGAAACGTTTTAAATTGACGGTAAACAGTGTCTTGAGCTTCGGGGGGGCCTTTGGGTCCGGGGGGGGCGCCAGTCGTAGAACAAGAGCCGTCGCTGTCTCGAGCTGCTCCTTTGGCACGACATGCGGTGGCGTTCGGATCGCAGGCAGCATGCCGCAGTGACGTCCGAGAGCGTCAGCAACGTCGATAGCTGCTGCAAGCGCGTCGTCGCGGGTATCTTGAAGCCGGCGGCTCGCGATGCTTTTGGCAATGTCGGTGATGGGCAGCGTCGGTGCGGACGCGATTGTAGCCAATGCTGGCGCACCTTCTGCTGCGTGGAGAACGCTGAGCCGGTGCAGGCGGATCTCGGACACGACCGTCATCCTGGCGTCTCGCTTTTGTTGCTGGAGATCGCAGGCGGCGGCCTTCTTTGCCATCTTGCGGGCTACCTTGCGGTTGCCGCGGCGCTGGAGCTTGGCCTTCTTCTCGCGTTTCATATCGAGCTTGCGTGTGGCTTCGGCAGCGGCGTCGGCTTGGATTTTGGCGGCCTTTTGAGCTTCGTACGCCGCTTTTGCTTGCTCGTACGCGACGTCCTGCTTCCACTGGAGCGTCGTGTTGGTGCGGGACGCGAAGCGCGATTCGCGTGTGCCCACGACAGCGCGCGCTGCTGCGGTCAAGCCGCGCCCGAGCTGCGTCACAATGTCTGGCGGCTCTTCTTCCGAGCTCGACGAGCTCAGAGACGAGCTCGACGCGCCGTCGTCACTGCTACTCTCGTCGTCGTCATCGTCGTCGTTATTGTCATCCTCGTCGTCGTCGTCGTCGCTCGAGTGCCGAAGCAGCTGGCTCAGCGTCGTCTCGTCGTCGTCGTCGTCGTCGTCGCTGCGGGCACTCATGGTCGTTACGCGTCCGAAACCGCCGCCGTCCACCACCGTCCGTTGCCGCACCGGCTCTATTGATAGACCGCAACAACGGCTGGTATTATCTAAAATAGACTCGCTTTTTATAATCAATCCAATCGGAGCGATCGGAAGATGGGCTTCAGTCTTTTCTCGCGCGCAAAGTTGCATACTCAAATTTGCACCCTTTTGGAGATATGCCATCGCTGCCACCGCGCCTCCTCTCGGTTCTCGTCGCGCCAGCACTGCCTCAAGTGCTCCACGGCGCATCCGCAATCGTTAGCCTCGGCACGGCTGCGTTCACCATCAAGTACCTTCAGACCACGAGCTGCAACCCGTTCGTGTCGGTCGTCAGCAAGACGGGACCGTTCCAGTTTCTTCTCGCTTCGGCCATCATTACGGCGTGTGCGAGCGTTGTTTGGATGCACAAGGCCCTGAAGCACCGACAGTGGTACATGGAGAAACGGCTGCACATCATGGCGGCCGATGTTGTCGCGTTCGTCTTGAACACGTGCGCCGGCACGGCCATCAATTTCTCGGCTGCTAGCCAATATGTGTGTTCAAGCCGGTACGCGACCGAGCTCGACGTCATCTGCGACGTCAACTGCGGGGCACTCAACGGCGGTCTCGTGGCCGACGGCATTCTTGTGCTTCTGCTGTTGTTTTCCGTGCTCTCGACCGGCTACCAGCTGCACTTGGCCGACCGCCGCACCATGTTTTTGGTGCAGACGCCGGCGACCAAGAGCACCACGTTCATGGAGACGCCGCACTCGGACTGCCTCCACGTCGAGCTCGACACACCGACCATGGCCGTGTAATTCCAACGTCGTCGTCTTCTACTATAGAGATCGTCGGGTAGCGATGCGAGACGACCGTAATGTGCAATCCATGTGTTTATTTCTACTACTGGACTGGATTCGCAAGGCTGATAGAGATAGAGGAAGCGAGTGCGAGGATGTTCACGCTGTGGAATGAAAGCGAGGCGGCGTCGCCCTCCACAGTAGTATTGAGAACGTCTCGCATAGCGACCTACACTACGACTGGGCTCTTGAAACGCCCTCTCTGTCCCATCTCTTTTAGCCTGAGAAAAGCCAAAGAACGTCTAGCCACGAATCGGCGTAAATAGGTGTCGACGAGGTACACTCAACAACGGCCCGACGGGACACGAAGATAGATCCGAGTGCTTTGCCAACCTTGCCAGCACATCCAAATCTATCATTCTAAAGATACCCTTGCGGCCTGTCTAGCAAGGGCGCTAGATTTCAGTTTCAGGTGCCCGTGCCTTGATCGAAAATAGTTAGTATACTCCATTCAAACCACCACTTTGCCTATCAAACCACCACTTTGCCATTCAAGACGCCAGTTTGCCTTTTGCTCTCGACACGCAACCATGTTCGCAGCCTCGACCATCGCCGCTCGTCTTCGCGCCATCGCCTTGTGCCCGTGCCTCCCCGTCGGCCTCCACGGCCTCACATCGATGCTCGCACTACTCGCGACGAGCTGCGTCGGCCGCTACATGCAGTCGACGTCTTGCAGTGCATATGTTCAAGAGATTAGCGACATGGACGTGCCCGAGCTCTCGTTGACTGCGGCACTCATCGTTGTCGTGCTCAGTACCGGCGGCGCCTTTGCGGCTGCGTACCGCACCGCACTGTATGTGGCTCACCGGCCAATCGTGCTTGCGCTCAACCTCGCGAGCTTGGTGTTCACACTCGCTGCCAACGCGTCACTCGCCAACTCGTATGCAAGCAACCACGTGTGCGGCAGTAGTAAGCACGAGGTAGACTTGGAGGTGCGCGTTCTCTGCAGCGTCAACTGTGATGCGCTGCGTGCAAGCTCGACGATGGCGGTCTTTGTCGCCATGACGCTCTTTGTGTCGCTTGTCGTTGGCACGTACCAGCACTCCACGGCGCCCCGTCTTCTGGCTGTGGAGAGCGCTGGGACGCCAACGACCAAGTTTGAGCTCATGGAGACGCCCCGCATGACGGACGACGTCGACGAGAGCGCGTCGATTGCCCTCGCAGTGCCCCTCGACGCGCCCACCAAGGCTGTCTAAGGCGTTTGTCACTTGTAGTAGTAGTGTCTACCCTCTGTTGCATAAAAAATAAACGACGACGCGTGTGCGTTGACGTGTGTGTTCTTGTCGGAGAAGCTGCCACGTCATCCACATGGCTGAGCACGATGGATACACTGGTGGCTCTAGGATCCAAGGCACCTTGATTGCGAGACAAGGGCGCTTCGCGTGGAGAGTTCTGGTTGCGTGGTGGACGATCGTTCAAAGAATCCATTGTACGCAGTGTCGCTGTTGAACCGTTTCCGTGCGCTGCCTCGAAGCGAGGGTTTCCCAAAGGGCCGTTATTATGAGTCATGACGGCGTCGATTCAACAAGAGCAATTCACCAACAAGTTTAAGGCGTGACGTCGCTCGAGATCGTGGAGAATAGAAATGAAGAATGAAGGAATATGACGTGCTACAAGAATTTAACCCAGACCTAGCTGGGGCGACTTCATTGCTCAGCTTCAACTTGAAATGTAAGCAGACCTGCAAGCACGAGTCGTGTGGAGCGCGTGGGCAGTAACCCCAACAGGGTCTGTTGTCCTCTCGAGTTCGCTGAGAAGAAAGATGGCGGCACCGCGAGTGGCGTCCTCAAGTCACCTCGTTGCCATACCCAAAAGGCGATGACTCACGCAAGTGCGAGCTGGACTGGCTTTGGGCGGCGGCCCCGTTGGTGCGAACTTATGTTAGTCGCTACCGCGTATATCGCGATGGTGAGTTTCAGAGCTATTCACAGGACGGGCGTTTCCATCGCCAACTTGTCCCTTGCTTTTGAGCACAAGTGAATCCCTCGACTCGATGGAAGGACTCTCGATCTCTGCGATGAGCGTCGGTCGCCGGGCCCTCTCGTCCCAAGGGCCCGCCCTCGCACGGAGGTATCAAGGCGCTCCGCTCAAGACCAAGCCAGGCTCACTGGACCGTAGCAACTCGTTGCGTTCGAGCCGCCAGCTCGAAGCTTCCAAGTACAAGCTTGCGGAAGGCTGCTGCCTGAGCGATGACAACAACGAGGCCGACGAGCACAAGTACCCTGAGCCGACGCGCATGTACCGACCGAAAGAGTGGACGCCCGAGGTCGAGGAAGGTCGTTTATGGGCCACCAGCATGAGGTTGCAACGAAATGCTTGTGTAGCGTTTCGCATCCAGCAGACAGGGTGGCGGGACATTAGCGACTACCGGGCCAAGTACGGCGAGCCCGAGCGCTGGGAAAACGGCTTCATTCGGTGTACGCGCGTCAAGGCGAGTGGCTACTACACCTACTGGTACACCGCCCACAACAAAGCAGACGACTGCAACTCCAGGTGACCTCTGTAGGCGCCAGTTTCGCGAGTGCGACGACAAGTACCTCAACAAGGTCAAGGTGTACGAGTACAACTAGCTTTGCCTTGTGTATAAAATGCTTTATTCCTCCGCAGCCTAGTACGCATAAACAGCGTACAGCACCGCAGCAACAAGCACGACGAGCGAGGGCAAGAGCATCCACAGAGGCCAAGCAGCCGCCGGTGGGGCAGTGTCGGCGGCCGGCGGGACGTCTTTGGCCGCGAGCAAGTGGCCGCCCCAGCGCTTCTTGTCTTGGTCGCGGGCCAGCGCCTGTTTTTCTTTGCATTGCGCAAGCGCCTACCGAGTGTATCGCATCGACGCGCGGTTACGCGAGGTTAGTTACCGCGCGGATCGCCTTGTCGTTGGGCTGGAGCCGCGCCGCCTTGGCAAGCACCTTGGCGGCGCCGTCGCTGTCGTTGTTGTGGAGAAAGGCTTGGCCTTTTCGGTACAAGGCCTTGACGCTGTCTGCATCAATGGCCAGCGCGAGGTCGCAGTGCTCGTGGACCTTGGCCGGGTCGAGTAGCGTCTCATGGAGGTAGCACGCTGCGAGGTTGAGATACACTATCAGACGCAGCGACATGACCCCCTGCAAGACAGGAGGCAGCATCGTACCCGGAAGCCGCACGACGTTGACAGCGTCACGGTGCTTGTCCAAAAGCTACAGACTTCGTCTCGCATAAATGCTATCAGCCGAACACGGTACCTCAAAGGCCCACGTGCCTTCATCAAACTCGACGTGGAAGAGCGCGCGCTCATAGCAACGGACCGCCGCCGCGTAATCGCCGGTTTTTTGCGACGTCGCGCCGGCCTCCTTGCACTCGGCAGCCATCTCGACGCGCGTCTCAAAGATGCACGAACGCTCCTACATGCACGCTACATGGGACACGAGAAGAAAGCACGCTCCTCAGACATACGCGAGTCAAGAGCTCCGCGATCGGGTCGGTCGGCGTCGTAGTCGTCGTCTCGGTCATGTCGCCTTGCCTCAAAATCCAAGTACGGACCAGCGTTCGTGATCATCATTCTTGTCATAGCCACGCTACTTACACCCAACTTTAGCTCGGCACTATGAGGACCTGATGGCATCATACGCATCAAGTCGAGTAGCAAGTGTATGAACACTCACAATTTGAAGTATGTGATATCTGTGGTACGGTGCCCACGCGGCGGTGCCTTTTAGTTCGCGGTGAAAACGAACGATTCTACATCGGTTGCGTGTGTTTAGATTACTGCATCGGTGGACAGGCGTTCATACCACAGCGCTCGGGTTGGACTCGACCCCTCGCGTATGCACTCAAACCAGAAGATCAATTGGATGTACACGGACGGTGATGCTCTTGGACTGTGAAATAGTCCAACATGGGTCGTAACTTCAATCCAATGGCGGTTTGTTTGGTTCGCGCGGAAAGCCAATTTTGACTTGTCCGGATAGCGACACCGACCGACAAGCAACGGCAGCGAGCTTTGCACGATGGCCGACGAGAAGTGGAACTGGGCCGAGCTCATCAAGATCAAGAGCGAGCCATCGGCTGCGAGCGTCGTGTCGAGCGTGCCCGATGTCCCATTTCGCGAGAGCGCGCCGCCGCGGCGCAAGGCCAAGCCCGCCAAGACGCCCGCGCCGTACACCAACATCTCGCAGCCGCAGCCGCTCGCGACGATCGGTCTCACGGCCGAGCTCGAGAGCAACAAGTTTGGCTTTACGCAAACCAAAGCGGCGCCGTCGGACCTCGACATGTCGTCGGCCGAAGAGTTTTCCCAGCTGCGCGTGCGCGACCGCGTCATCTCGGCGGACGACATGCGCGCCAACATGGAGGGCCGGACGAACGTGCGCCTCGCGGAGCTCGAGTCCAAGCACTTGAGCCGCCTCGAGAACGAAGATATCGACTGGGTCACGATCGGCGTCGTTACGAGCGCCAGCCACCTCACGGCGCCGGACGGTAAAAAGTACGTCGTCTGGACCATCTCGGACCTCGACAACTGCATTGTGAGTCTCTTCCTCTACAACGATGCGTACGAAGCGCATTGGAAGGTATTTCTCCTCTTGTGTGAAGCACAACAGCCGTGACGAAGAAAAATGCTGCACTAGGGCAGCACGGGACGGCTCGTGGCCGTCATCAACCCGGTCGTGCTTCCGGCGCGCGAAAGCGGCAAGTTTGCGCTCAAGGTGTCCGACGGCCACGACGTGGCCATGATTGGTATCATCACTGCTCCCGCAGGCGACAGAACAGGACGCTCCTGGTCTAGGCACCTCTCTGGACTTTGGCTACTGCCAGAGCTACACCCTTGGCGGCCGGCAATGCAAAATCGCCGTCAACATGGCCAAGGTGCCATCACGGACTACGGTCGTGCGTCCTCTAAGATTCATGTAGTCGCGCTACTGCGTCATTCATTTGGCCCAGCGCCTCAAAGACGCGGGCAAAGGTCGGCAAGAGCTCAATTCGGCGCAGACCTTTCGAAATGACGTGTTCAAGGACGGCGACGGTGTCCGCAACCTCTCGTCCGGCTCGTACGGTACGCTTCTTACGATCAAGGCGATGTCTTGATCGTGCACTAGCACCCGAACGTGCGGCCAAGAAGGCGGCGCCCAAGCGCAAGGCAGCTACGCATCGGCTCACGTCGTCGACGCCGCCGGCCACAATGGTCTCGGCAACCGGTGACGTGGCCATGCACGTCCACAAGAAGCACAAGTTGACGACGCCTTCGGTCGCCAATTTCAAGCCGTCGACGATCGACGATCTCAAAGCGTCGCTGGCCCAACCACCAGCGAAAGGCTCGTCGATGGCGCAAAAGTCGATTGTGTAGGCGGATGACGTGCGTGCGTCAATGGAATCGCATCATGGCGGCGTAGGGCCAAGATGCTTGGCATTGGTGCCAAGCGCAAGAATGCCAACCTCATGCAGTTCATGACGCAGCACCAGTCCTCGACGCCAACGACAACGTCGTCGTCGTCGTCGCGCCCGGCCGTGCCGCCATCGCCCCTTGCAACATGTACCGAAAGACGCCTCTGCTGCATCTCTCTTGAGCATATCCATGTAGTGCCCCGCCGCGTCTCGGTGCCATCGGGTCGCCCGGCGTCCGTACCGCGACAAGTGTCGGCGCCGCTCACCGGACGATCGGCCAACGTCGCTTCGCTGCGCGCCACGGGCATGGTGGCCATGGACTTTGATGCACCCGGCGTCCCGTCTATTCTGCAAGCCAAGTCCCGTCCTCGCTAAACGACCGCTATGACCGATGTACTAAATACTCCTCTTCATGTATCAAGTCGCCATTGAAAAAGAAAAACTGTTCATTTGGTCCAATACTGGAGCGTGGGCAGGTGTACATCCACGGCAGTAGTGCCGAGCTTGCACGCGGTAGCGACGACGTTGAGGCTGATGGCGCGGCCGTGGAAGACGAGGTCGCTCGTGTCGGCAAAGAGTCCAAACGAACGGACGTGCTGGACCTTGCAAAAGCCCGCGTCGTTTAGATAGCTGCGCAGAATCGGCAGCGTAAAGCCCGCCTTGTGGTAGTCGTAGGCATCGACTTGGCCGCCGTAGATCATGCGCGTCACAAAATGCTGCTCCTCTAGCGTCAAGGTTGGGTCCAACAGCAGCGAAGCGAGCACGCTCAAGTCGGGTACGGACAAGTAGAGCGCACCGCCCGGCAAGAGCAACCGGAACCACTCGGCAAGCGTCGTGGCGACTGCAAACGATGCGTCCGCGCCGTACCCAACGTGTTCGAGCACGTGCGACGAGTAGATGGCTGTGACCTAGTAGTACGCAATATCATATCTTGTCCCATTCTCTCGCATCGCTTACCGAGCTGCTTGCGAATTGGTGCAACGATTGCATATCGCTCAGCACATCCGGCGTCGCGGCGCCGGCGTGCTGGATGTTGACGAGCTGCCAGCCGTCGCGCTGCGTGTGGCCGCCAATGTGAAGCAAGATCGGCGCTTTGTCTCTCTTCTTGAGCGCCCGGATGGTTCGTGCGGTGGTGTCCCGTGTTGAATGCGCGCAGGACGTCGCCAAGGGCACGGCGACGTGCGCGGGACGCTCACCCTTGCGATCCCACGTCGCCACCATTGCGTCACCAAAGTACGAGGCAAACGCTGACGTGTCGAAGAGGAGGCTCTGTGTCCTACATCCCGACGATGCTGACGACGACGGAAGGAGAGCTTGGCATCGCACCGGTGGCCTTGCACAGCATCGCGGAGACGACGACGGAGTGCATGCGACTGCGCGAGCAACACTGCCGTGTCTTCGTACTCTTTCAGCGAGTGGGTCGTCATGGTCGCGTGGAGCTCGTGATGCAGCTACTCGTATAAGCCACCGATCGCACGGTCGTGGCATGTACCGAGGCCGTTGCGGAGCTGCCGGCGCGATTGTTCATGCGGTCGCCTTCCAACGTCACGACGGGGACACCTTTACGACGTCACAGGACGTCCGACGAGGAGAGTACTGTACCTGCCCAGAGCGCATCGACGAGCGTCGTGTGACCATTCTTGATCGTCGTATCGAGCACGACATCGGCGGCTTGTTTGACCTTGTATTCCACATTTGTATCAAGTTGATACAAACGTCGGGACAGGTACCCACGTATGATTGATCCATGGACTGAGCGCAGTAAAGACAAGCCGACGCGATCCATCGACGCCCTGTGCGAACGCTTCGCCCACCAAGTTGTCGCGGGCGGCCTCGTGCCCCTACCGCTAGATTCTCGCGTCGACATCGAGGCTGGCGTTCTACCGGGTACTGCATGAACCAGAGAACGCTCGACGGCACCCGACGGAGCACGCGCATCCAGATGCCAAAGAGCGTCGGGTCCATTTTCTACCGAAACGTCGGTCATCGTGTACTACGACACGTCGTTGAAGAAAGCACCGACTTGCCAGTTGCTAAAGGTCGCAAAAACGAAGGGCGAGGCAGGCAGCTTGGCGTCCTCGCGCAACGGCGGGGCGTGCGTCGTCACGTGCAGCATGAGCTAGTCGACATGCACACGCCGTCGGTCGACTTGAGCGAACCCAACCTGCTTGTGGTCGTTGACGATGTAGCTCAGCGGGAGGTACACGAGCTTCTCCGAGAAGCCGCTGGCCATGCGTGGCGGTGCCGCGATCGCGTCCACGACAAAGTAATCGATGAAGCTGGCGCCAGTCGTCTGCGGAAAGCCAAGAAAACTCACCTACGCCAAGATATGGACGATATGGAGATGGCAGTGGTATCGACCTGGACCGGCGCCGGGCGATGGCTCAGGATTGGCAGCCCCGAGTGCAGCGTATGGCCGTTGAGATCGACCAAGACGTGGATACCGTGGGCACGGATCGTCTCCGCGGCCTCCAATGTACTCATGCCTGTGAGCGATACCATCGCATGGACCTCGCCCGTGATGTTGGAGCGCCACCAGCTGCCTTGGTCCGAGAGCGCAAAGCAGTAGACCTGCAACCGACGGTGGCTCGCATGTGCCGACCAAGATGCCGTACCTCGAAGCGAGGATCGCGCTGCAGGTAGGACACGAGGCCCCGCACGAGCGTCGCGATAGGGTGCAGGCCAAAGTCGGACGAGACAAACCCTACGATATGGTCCGGGAGACGCGAGTGACGACGACGTAGTACCGAGTTTCAGTTGCGTGGGCGACGCCGTCGTGTCGCAAGGCAGCGGCATCTGGTGCGAGGACGTCTGCACCGCGAGGGCGAGGCGAGCGAACGCGAGCGTCGCGGCCGGCGAAAGGTCGTAGCAGTCGGACGCGACGATGTTGGAGATGGATGTGCCCTCCGCTTGCCACGTCAGGAAGGTCACAAAGACACCGCCCACATGCACGTCATTAGCTATGTACCTGCGACAAACTGCGGAGCACCATCGCGTGCACGTGGTCAGCAACATGCTCGTGGTCGGTCCAGTTGGCAACCCAATTGCGTGCCTTGAAGAGCTTGATCACGTCGTTGCTCAATCGCTTCTCGACGATCGCGACTTCGTAGGCGCGGAGCGCCTGTGGCATCTTGAGCTGGCCCAAGTAGCAGTCGCCCAGATGGAGCCACATGGTCGCATGGTCGGGAAACCAGCGCACGCCGGCGCGAAACGTTGCGGTCGCTGCCGGCAGATTCCCGAGCGTATACTGGGCAACACCCAAGAGCTCGTAGGCGAGGCTGCGCTGCGCATCATCGTGCGTTGGCGCCGCGAGTACATCGCGCGCTGCGCGCTCGAGGCCAGCCATGTCGTTGGCGCGGTACCTCTCGCGCATGGCCTCGTACGGCGTCATGGCCATGGCCATGGCAATCACCAGGATGAGCACGGCGAGGACGCGCATGGCAGGACGTCGTTCCATCCGCGCTTCCCCAAGAAGATCGCGGGTGTGTGGCCACTTGAGCGCGGCTTGTGATTGGCCAAAAAACCGTTTGCTCACGTCGTTTCACCAAAGTGGGTGTTCTCGACGTCAACTTTTCTATGCATCCTTGTCGCAATGGGAAAAACGTGACTTGGGTACTATGCTACTCTCCACCTCATTGGCTGAAATGCAATCTTTCGCCGCCGGCCATTCGCCAGCTAATGAAAAAGATCGTTCGCATCGCTCATTGGCCAATGCCTGGCAAAAGGCGACGTGATTGGCCAGCTAATTAAGCGCAGCTCACCACCGCCCACCGCCGGCTGCGGCCAGTTTGGGATTCGTTACTACTCGGACGATGGCGTCGCCCGAAGCGACGCGGGCGTCCATCACGCAGCCCCACCCGGTGGACTCGTTCCGCCTCAGCCATGCGACCATGGAGTACGGCGAGCACCTCAGCATCGGCCGGCCGCAGAGCCCGGCCAAGTCGCCCAAGCTACTGCGGTCCATCTTCCAGGAGCACGGGCTCTCGGCGGCCGAGTGCATCTTTCGCGTGCGCATCTCGGGCATCCAGTGCCGCAACCTCGAGTCGCGCAAGTTTGGCGGCAAGTCCGATCCCTTTGTCGAGTTTTACTGGGATGGCATGGACATGCCATTCACGACGCCAGTCATCAAGGGCGATCTCAACCCGACGTACAAGGGCGTCACGATCGCGTTCGAGTACAAGGAAAGCGTCGCGATGCTGAAAGAACGCAAGTGCAGCATCAAGGTCTTTAGCAGCCGCACGTTCCAGAGCAAGACGCTCATCGGGTCGGCGGTCGTCGACCTGCTCTCGATCGCGACCGGGCCGGTCCATCACGACCACCACCTCGAAGGCTGCACCAACGGCCGCGTCGTCTTCAACTGCTACATGGAGCAGTGCAACAACTGGAGCATCTGCGTGAGCGACGTCGGCCTCGTTATGCCCGCGATCGGCAACGAGATCGACCGCCCCGAAGGCCACGATCTCCAAGAAGACTCGTCGCTGCCGCTCAAGAAGTACGCGGTCTCGTACAAGTGCACGATCGGCACGTCCGAGTCGTTCCACCTCGGCAACACGCTCAAGCCCGCCGAGCGCATTGCGATCGAAGACGTCGACCAGATTAGTTTCCAGTCGCTCGCGCGCCTCAAGGTCCTCTCGGCGCGGCCCATGTCCCGAACCTCGTCGACCTCGACGGCCGTGCTGCACGACGACGAGACGATCATGCCGCCGCCCGCGCCGTCCGCAGACTCGCTCACGACCATGAACGAAGACCCGATCCACGTCGAGTGGACGTCGGCCGCCGACCACCTCCCGGCCATCACGCGCTACTCGACCTTTGACGAGCTCATGTCGGCGACGCTCAAGCTCGAGGTATCATCTTGATAGTATTGCTATTGGGCTGCATGTTGTTTCTGCGCGTAGGTGCGCAACCTCTCGGGCGGTCGCGGCCAAATGTCGTCCGACACGGACAATGGCTTCTTGGTCATGTACGACAAGTACAAGAAGGAGCTCGTACGTTCTCTTGTTGGTCTGTCGCCTGTATGGATACATTGCTATTAGGCCGAGACGGACGAGGACGTGGTCTTGGACGCAGAGCTGCCCAACACGGTGCTCTTTGGCCAGAGCTGGCTCTCGCTCGAGAAGCTCTTTGAAGATGCGCTCCAGGAGCGCATTCGGCGGCGGCACGAGACAAAAGACCGCGAGTCGGAGCTGCTCATGCTCCAGATGCAGCTCGACAACAGCGTGACGAGCCGGTTTGAGCAAAATTTAACGCTCAAGGGCCACCAGGTCGGCGTCATCCACGGCACGATCCTCTTCACAAAGATCCCGGACGTCCGGCAGCTCCGAAGCGGCGTCATTTCCGAGAACGGCATCTCGTCGTCGTCCAGCGTCATTGTCGGGCTGCCGCAAAACCTCAAAAAGTCCAAGTCCAAGGTCATCATCCCGATCGAGGCGCAGCGCATTCTCGAGAAAATGCAGGACCTCATCGAGCTCATGTCGAATACGGCCAAAGACGACAAGGAAGGCAAGATCCGCAAGGCGACCAAGATCCTGCGCATGCTCCAAGTGTCGCACAAGGCGTCGATGCTCTCGTGGGTCTACGCGTCGTCGGAGGCGCTCGACGAGACCAAGGCGATTCTGCTCCGCTTGTGGCAATTTCTGCTCGAAAACATTCGCGTCCGGCACTACGCGCTGCGCAACATCTTTTACGAGCTGCTCTTTTACCTCGTCAAGCGCGCCGAACTCAGCGACTTGCCGCTGCTCGGGTTTGACTCGGTGACACCGGCGGCCGTCGGCCTCTTCCGCCACCAAGACAAGACGGCCAAGAAGGACCTTGAATTTGGCTTGAAGTTGCGCTCGATGCTCGTCGAGACCAAGTTCTGCGTCCTCCAAGCCGTCTCGGTGCGCGGCGTCATGAACAACAACTTTATGTTCTTCGTTGCCCGCATGCTCTCGGTGCTCTGCTTTCGCCTCCCGAGCTTTGGCGTCGAGCTCTACTCGCTCTGGGCCGAGTCGTATATGGAGCCGGTCGAAGAGCTCACGGAAGAATTCGAGATGAACGCGGGTCCGTGTCTTCGTCTCTATCTCGCGGGTACGATATCTTGGTCGATTAGATGCAGATCTGTTTGCGATGGATGGCCTCGAAGCGCACTTGGATTGGCGTCGGTTCCACAAGGCACTCTGTGACGCATACGGCGAGAAGGTGCTCAAGACGCAGGAAGACGACGCCGAAGACAAGTACGAAGTCGTCGGCGAGGCGTACCGCGCGCGGTTTCGCCGGCTCCCCAACGAGACCAACACACTCAACATCTTGCTGCTCGACCAATGGCTGTGGTACGTCCTCGACACGCTGCGGTGCTGCATCAGAAGATTGGGTGGGTCCACCTCCCGGGCTACGCGCAAGTGCTGAAAGTCTTCTTTCTCGAACTCAAGGGTCAAAAGTCGGGCTGGCTGCCGCCGACCTTGTACAAGCTCTCGTGCACGATGCTCGCCAACCCGACGATCATCAACCCGATGACCAAGTTCTTGCTCTCGTCGACGAACGTCCACGACATTCCCGCGGTCATTGGCGTCGTCGAGCTCCTCGGCGTGTGGATGTATATGATTCGGAGCTGGCGCGTCCGCCTCTCGTCGTACCGGCTCTCGCACCTCGAGAACAACGACCGCTGGAACTTTCACCAAGACGCGCAATACTCGATTCCGGCCGGCGACGAAGTCTCGCTCCTCCCGCCCACGTTTGATTTTCGGTTCCTCTGCTCGGCGCTGCACATTCTACTCGAGTCGGAGCACACGCAGATCTTGCTCACGACGCTCGAGTTTCTCTACAACACGTGGGACTGCTTTCCGGAGCGGCACGCCGACAAGCTCCGATCCGAGCTCGCGACGCCGTCGACGTTCTTCAAGCTCTTCCTCCATTGGCACAGCGAAGTGCGCCATTTCTTCCATACGCTGATTGCGTTCCGGGCCATGAAGGCCCACGGCTGGACGCAGCGCGGGTCGTCGTTTGTCGACACGCCGCCCCATAGCCGCCGGTACATTGACGCGGTTGGCGCCGACTTTACCTCGTCGCTCGGCGCCGATGATGTGCCGGCGGAGAAGCGATCGCGCAGCTACAGCGCGAGCAACATCATCGAGTCGGTCTCCAAGCGCCTCAGCTCCGTGTCGTCGTCGCCGCGCGCCATGTGGAGCTCGTCGCCGCGCCAGGCACAGTCGCCGACGACCGTCACCATCACGGTCGCGTCGCCCAATGGAAGCTACTCGCGCGGCTTCCACTCGGCGTCCAACTCGGGCGCCAACACGCCGACGGGTGGCGACTCAAGCAGCCGGCGCAGCTTCAACGAAGAGTCGGGTCGCAAGGACCGGAAGACGCGGTCCGTCTCGGAAGATTTCTCGCGCAAGGAGCTTAGCGGGTCGACGAAAATGGACCCAAAGATTCAAGTCGCGTACCATCGACTGCTCGAGTCGGTCTATGTGGCCGCCAAGGTCTACGCCGAGAAGCTCTCGGACGAGAAGACGAAAGGCGTGGCCTCGACGCCGCTCTCGACACCTGTGACGTGGAAGAAGAAGGGGTCGCTGCTCAAGCAAGGCTTTCTCTACAAGAACCAGTGGAAGCCCAAGTTCTTCTCGCTCCGAAACAACAAGCTCGGGTACGCCGACAGCGAGAGCGGCAATGTGAAGCGCGAGATCAGCGTGATTGGCGCGCGCGTGGGCGAGATGGCCAACCAGATCGACCAGAGCAACGGCAGTCGCACGATCCTCTTCAACTGCTTTTACGTCGACAATGGACCGACCGCGCGCCTCCAGCTCTGTGCGCCGTCGTTTGACGAGCGTCGCGAGTGGATCGAAGTGCTCTCGCAGAACGCGGCCGAGACAGAAGACAAGCAAAAGGAAAAATCCAAGCTCAGCAACGAGCAGAGCGCCGAAGCCAAGTGGGACGTGCTCAACGACAAGCTGGAAGGGATCTCGGGCCTGCACACGGCGAGCGTCGAGAACGTCGCGTCGACGCTGCTGCCGTACACGGTCCAAGCCACAAAAGAGTGCGCACTTGATAAAAGCTCACGGATGTGCTCATGACGCGCGTGCGTAGGTGGCTCAACTTTCGCGTCGAAGCCATTGACATCGATTCACGCATTGCATCGGGCCAAGAGTTTTCGCTGCCGATCCTTATCTCCAAGTCGTCGACGTACGCCGAAGACGTCTAGTCCTGTTTCTCTCGACCCTGGCGCCATGATAGGCCAGTGCCGAGACGCACCAATCCAGCCCTCTTCTTGTTTCATTCTACTCTCTTCTCGCGTGCTACGAACACCAAGCCGCATCAAGTAGTGGCGGAGCTATATAGCACGGTGCTGCATAAAAGAGACTACACAAGCAGCAGCAAGATCTGTCCACCGTCGGAGGCCAGCGGACGAAGACCCCAGCAAAGGTCCCGGCGTCAACTGCGTGTGGCCTTGACGGCGAGCGTGGCAGCTGCCACGTCATCCGGATACGATATGTGCCGGATACGCCGCGATGACCGGATACGCTGCTATTTCCGGATACGCCGCCCTTGCCATGGACGCGAGCACGGTCCGCATCGGCGTCGTCGGCGACTCGGGCGTCGGCAAGTCGTCGCTGGTGCACTTTGTCTGCCATGGCGCGAGCCTGCGGCAGCCTTCATGGACGGTCGGCTGCACAACCCAAGTGCTGGTACGCGGCTGGCGACGATGGCGGCGCATCGAACACCTCTGTAGATGCGGCCCAACGAGACCTTTGTCGAGTTCATCGACGTGGGCGGGCACCCGCGGTACGAGCTGAGCCGCGCCGCCTTTTACCACCAGCTCCACGGTACGTCTGCGATCGACGTGGACGGTGCGACGACAGACGCTGCCATGGCTAGGGCTTGTCTTTGTCTACGACGCGAGCAACAAGCGGTCGTACACCAACGTCAAGAAATGGATTGCGTAGGCTTCGAATATGCCGTCGCCGCACCGAGTATGGTGGCGTACTATGTAGGGAGCTCAACGCTGCCCAGCGCGTGCGCGGCGACGTCTTTGCGGACGCGCGCTACCAGTCGGTATGTGCGAAAACGCATCATCCGCGAAGCGATAGGCGTTCCATTGTATGACTAGGTGCAGCAGCTTCCGACGCTCATCATCGGCAACAAGCACGACCTTGTCACGCCATCGACGTCGAAGCGGCCATCGCCCATGCAAGACTTCAAGATGGAGGCTATTGACGCCGTACGAACGTGGTCTCGTGACACGATGATTCGCCTCTGAACACGCGAGTTTTGTAGAGTGCGCTGCAGTGCACACTCGACTGGTCGCGCTTCAACCTCTTCCTCGATCGCGCCGCCGCGGCCATGCACCAGCCACTACCGACAAGCGACTCGACGCCACGGGCAACGACGCGTAGCCACGCGACCAAGCACGCGTGGTGGTGACGCGTCGACCTAAGCGACACGCCTGTCTTGTCGAGGACGAGCACAGATGAAAATAGATGTATTAAAACTCGATCGATCGGTGGCTTGGTACACGCTCGGCCGGGTGGTCGACGTCGAGCTCAAAGTCGGTCGCGTCCGACTTGCGATGCGGCGACTGTCGGCGGTCGAGGTCACTGTACAGCTTTTGCTTGGACCGCGGCGAAAGATACGTGCCTTGGACCGAGTAGTCGACGATGTCGGCGCTCATCGTCGAGTCGTTCAGCGGTCGACCGGCCGTCGACGCATACGAGTCGTCGCGCGGGTTCGGCATGCGTCCATGGCCGGTGGTGTGGTTGGGCGACTGGAGGCTCGCGTACGGCGCCTCGGCGTCGTGCAGCACAAAGCCATGGGGCCCTGCGGACGGCGGGCGGTACAAGCCCGGCTCGCTCGTGCGGCCATACGTCGAGGCGTTGTACGGGTTGGGTTGCTGCCACGCGCTCGAGGACGTTGTCGACATGGACAGCTTGTGCTGGAATTGCTCGTCTTGGAGGCGCTGCGCCTGCTCGCGCTGCTGGCGCGCGATCTGTGCTTCCTCAAGCATGCGGTCGCGCGCCTCGGTCTCGCGCTGCTCCTGCATGGCCTCTTCGGCGTCACGGCGACCCTTGGCGCGGGCGCGGCGCATGCAGATGCAGAAGCACACGACGAGGAGGATGAGGAAGAAGGCGACGCCGCCGATGATGATCCACCATATCCAGTCGTCGAGGCCCAAGAGGCCCTTGAAGATCGTCTGGCCGCCGGTCATGCTGCGTGGCGCAATGGAGGAGTGAGCTCGGATATGCGACTCTGCGACCGATACAAACGCAGCCTGGCTCGAGGCCGTTGCATCTTCATAAACTTCGATGTTCGCTTCGAGGGGGTCCCCTCCATGCGACACGCCGGTACTTCCGTCGCACCGGCAGTGCCACCGTACCATTCAGCGTCGCTCCCTACGCCAAATGGCCTCCGTCTATCGGGATAGATATGGTCGACGCCATCGTCGGGGTTGGTGGCGAGAACCGCGTGGTAACAAGGCGAAGCGTCGTGCTGGATATGCTACATGGAATGGGTCCCCCCATGTAATCTGCAGGCTGTCTATGAAGTTCGAACTTCGATTTAAAATTTCCTGCAATATAATTTTATTACTTTTATATTTGCATAAAGAAAAGCAATAGAAACGCACCGTTTCTTGAATTACATGCTACAGAGCGCTGATTTTTGGCGCCACGACCAAAGGTGCCGGCCTCTACGGACCGTCACGTCATTGGCTGCGGTCGGCCGCTGTAGCAGCGAAGCGAAGGACTTGATGGCCAAGATCTCGCCCCCATTGACGCCAGGCAAACACACGACGATGGGTTGACGAGCACAGGGAGATGTGCCACCTCAAGCAAAGGGCAAACTCAGAAAGCCCAAGCTGGTCGCGGACGGGACAGCCAACGCGAGCGACGAGCTGCGGTGGACGTCGCTCACGTTGGTTCAAGGAGTCGTACTCGCAGGTTGCGCCGATGACACGTACCTACGCTACATGAGTGGTTGGATTTCGTCTCCATATTTTTGGCTACAAATTTTTGACGCCACATGGGATCGTTCAAAGCAAAAGCTGTCCATGTCGGTGGCGCGCCGTTGCATCTAGGCGCTTGGCTGACGCTGGCGTGGTGCTCCCATCAACCACAAGCTTTCAATACCAGCAGTCTCCACAAAGCTACTTGTACCGGCCAAGGGTAGCACTGCACTGAATTTCAAGTGCGTTGGAATGCACGGCATCTTGAAGAAGCTACTTTATTGACGTTGTCTTTCCGACGCCCGTCGTCGTCGCCGTCGTCGTCGTTTTGTGTCACCGCGGACAGAGGAGGTGGAGTCGTACCGGCGCTTGCGGCGGTGCGGAAGTTGCTGGCGGTGGCGCCGTCACCGACGTCGTTTGTCTTAAACGACGACGCGACGGAGCGCGGCAAAGACGCGGTCGACGTCGTCGGTGGTCGTTTGCCAATTGCTGAACGCCGCGCGCATCGCCCACGTGCCGTCGTAGCACGTTGGTGTCATGAACGCGTCGCCCGTGTCGCGAAGGCGCTGTAGGAGGTCGAGCATACTCGCTTCGTTCGCGACCGCATCGTTGGCAAAGGTAAACAAGACGATATTGAGGCGGACCGGCGCCAAGAGTCGAAGCACGTGCCCGAGCTCGGCCTCGATACGCGCGCCAAGGGCGCGCGCCCCATCAATATTACGCACGACAATGTCGGCGTGGCCGTCACGACCGTACGCTGTGATGGCAAACCACGCGGCGAGCGCCCGCCAGCGCCGCGAATTTTCCGGTGTCAAGTGCACAAAACTGGGGGTCGTGCCATTGCTGCCGAGGTACGAGGCGGCGGCGTTGGAGAAAACGCGCACTTGGAGGTC